CTTATGAGCCTCAGTTTTGGTATGTATCACTGGTATGTATGTGTTAAAAGTAATTAGTGACTAGTAAAAAAACAAGAATATGTAGTTAGTTACCTTTGTATTATATTTAACGAAGTAAAAGGAACACGTTATTATGGTTTTTATTTGTTCTATTTGTTTGTTGGTTAAGTGTGTACTTGTGGAATGATATGTATATGTAAGCATAGTTATATGGATCAGTGTACAGATGGTTAAAAATCTTTCTGAGTGATGATATACTCGCATTGTTTTTGCTTCGTTTCGAAGATCTTGTCAAAGTATAGCATAAGTGATGTCGTGCACTCTATTACAGACAGTGGATTAAAGAAGTAGCGTCCCTTTGACATAGGTGACTTCAGATGCTGACTTCAGGAGTGAGACCTTTCGTACTATACAAGCTAGTGGACATCTTCGTGCGGGGAGAGGAAGTAGCTGTACCTTGCAGAATCGACTTGGCAAAAAAAAAAGAGAGGTGAGCTGATGACGCAACATTACTAGGTCGAAGTGAATTCGCGTACCTTCACCCGCATAAGGAAGGAGCGTTTCACGAAAAGAGCGGCTTGCAAAAACAAAACAGAAAAAATCAAAAATATCCACAAAAGTGCCCTTTTGCAGACGATAAGACTCGGGTAAAGTATTGTGGTTGGTATCATCGTGTTCGTCTCGTCGTTTCTTTACACACTTGGCTAGAAACATGAAAATCTGCCGGAAATATTGTCGAAACGACCCATTTTTTAGCAAAAACTACAGGTTAACAACAACCCCTTTGCTTTTTTTCAAAAATCGCCTCATCTTTCACCTATACCTTTCAGCTTTTTCTCCACAGAAAATGATCGTATAGCTCATCAGTTGGCACCATTCGAATGCTGAAACGCTACTCTACAACATATTAAAAACACTTTTGTGCTGATGTGCTGGAGGTGGCAGAGCGGTGGTAGTGATTGATGATGAAAAAAGATAACCCCGCCTTAGCAGCAGTTGGATAATGTTAATAAGGAGTGAATTAATGGACAGAAAACTGCTTGTGTATTATTATATGACACCTTTGGTGTACTTCATAGATAGAAATAGCTTACGATACATTGTTGTCTGCTGAACAATACAAATGTGATTTCAAGCTTATGTACAAACAGCTTGCCGTAGCTAATAAGAACAGAAGTTCACGGTCAAAACATAAAACTTACCATCTACTGCGTGCAGCTTGAATCTAATACTATCCCATCAAGAAAAAGAAACTGTATATAGGTTAGAATTGAGTATTCGTTTGAAGTAGAAATATATGTAGTATATAAAAAAGAAATAAGATAAGGGAGAGGATCGGATTTAAGGACTTCATTGTTGCTGTTGATCTTGCAACTGCTGCAACCGTTGCAATTGCTGCTGTAGAAGCTCTATTTGTTGTTGTTGTTGCTGTTGCTGTTGCTGTTGCTGTTGCTGCTGCTGACTCTGTTCTTGTTGGTGTTGTTGTTGCTGCTGCTGTGATACTGGCGTGTAGAGGAAAGTGATTCCGTCCAACACAGCCGTCACTCTACGCCTGTATTCAGCAGCGTCCTCTTTCCAGTGGCTGGGTGTTGCTAAAGGGACGTCATCAGGCCAGCCAACTAACGAAATGCTGTACTTTTTTCGATTGATGACACCATTTCCATCTTCAAACTTTTTCCACGGAAAATTCGTGATCTTTTTGAAGCCTTCAACTTTACCAAGCAGAGTCTCATCTAGTAAGGCATACATCGCAACTGAGTGGCTGAACCATTTGATATCAAGCCTTTTTAGTTACTTACTGTACGAATTGATGATTTTGTTGACAATTGTACTTTCGACCTGCTGCTTGGAAGCACTCGAAAATGAGCTGCAGAGTCGGGGTCGCTTGACTCCACGGGAAGAAGAGGAACGATTGTCGGCTGCAATAGTTGTCGGAGAGGATGATGATGGAGATGGAGGGATTTCGGTGGCATTGTTGGTTTCAGGATCAATTGGGACGGTCTCAGTAGCGGCTAAATAGGAAAGTCAGAGCTACTTCTACATCTTTACTTAATACATTCATATACATACCCTTCCTGTTGAAGTCATAGCATTCACTTTTGAATATTTCCTTCAATCTGAAGGAAACGTCTTCGACCTGGTCTGCTTCTACCTTCTCTAAGAAGGCGATTCCTGCGTCTAAATCGAGTTTTTAATTTGTTGATCTTCACGACGAAAGGAAAATGAAACTCACCTGATCCAACTGCATCAACGGGAACCACCTTGCTCGTGAGCTTGTCCGGCGAGAAAAGACACAAGGTTTCAACACCACATTCTCGTTTCAGCTGGACAAGGTTGCGGCCCATGCAGTCGATGAGCAACTTCAGCTTCAACTTTGCCGACTGAACGGTCTTTTGTTCAGTGGCGCCAATGCTTTCGTTGTGCTCGGTTGTTGCTCGGATCAGGTCCGCCTTCAGTTCCGGATCGTTCATCAAAGCTTTGTATTCGTCAGACTTTTGCTGAACGATATATCCAGCGTGACGATTATCGTCCTTCAGCATTCCCCTATCTAAGCGTACAGAAAAATACTGATTAATACGAGTGTTGTATCGTGCCTGCATTCTTGTATTTGCTATTATTAAGATGATATAACCTTCTGCATCGTAATGAAGGGACAGGAAATGCTGCCAGGTGTTTCGTTTGCCGGCGTGCTTGCGAAGCAATGGCAATCTCACCGGCAGGAGCTCCTCGACGCGCTTTCCATACTTGGCGGCAATTTGGGCTTGACCTGCCTTCATGCGGTCAAGCAACTCTTTTTCAAGAGCTGCCAGATCAGCCTCCATTTCCTCGTCGGCTTCGGCCACAGCGGACGCAACTGCTTCGTCAGCTGCAGCATCTACTACGTTGCTGGAGGCAGACTCGAGTTCCATCTGCTCAATAGCAGTCGCCACGTCAGCGGTTGCATCAGTTGTCATTGGAGCTTGGTCGAATGAAGCTTTTGCAGCTTCAATTCTTTCCTTCATTACTGCCGCTTCGTAATTGCATTCGGAAACGAAATCAATGAATTCATCATTATTAAATATTTCCGTCTCTTCTTCTGTTGTTCTATTCTCTTTGACAAAAAGTCGGTAGAGTTTAAAAGCGGTTTCAATATGGTCTTTTGTCAACAAGGGATTCATTTTAAAATTGCAGAAAAAGGGAGGTAAGAAGTAGTAAGGAAGAAGTTGGTGTCTCAACATCTGGCTTCTCTCTGTTCTATTATCAAGCGTTTCACAAACTTTCGCATCATTCACTACAGAGTCACATTTCACAAGGTTCTCGACAATTACACTTTTTTGAGCAATTACGGCAGAGTTCTATTTGAGTTTGCGGCGTAATTTATTTTTGCGGCTTTTGCGGCCGTTATGAATATACTGGGGCCGCAAAAATTTGCCCAGTATAACCATTACTGCGGCGGCGGTAATACTAGCTGTAGTGCTAGGCCATTTAGCATGTGATGAGCCCGAGAACAATATACATCACTTTACTCAAAGAGGAATCACTGATATGTACTTGAACTTGTATAAGAGAAAAGAACAAAGTTTATATATTCACAGGAAAGAAGAAGAAGAACGAAATGCGGTATTCCTTGTCCCTGATGGATATAATCGGTCCGGACCAGAAATAGAAAACTAAGACACAAAAACGGGTACCAATTCAGGGGAACAAGAGGTTGTGTGGGAATTGTTTGGGAGACATATGCGTTGATTGGGTGGAGTTGTTACTGTTGTTGTTGTTGCTGTTACTGTCGTCGTTGTGTGTATGTGTTTGTGTTTACGGATTGTTTATCAAAGGAATCGGGGTGGGGGGGGATGGAACAAATAATTTAGACACGGTCGGTAATGTCAAGGGGCTCCCAGCCATCACTACCAAAATCGATAATAAGTCGGCCTTGCTCGTTGACTTTGAACATGCCCTTGAGCTTCCAGGTGCTGTCACCACGGAGGTCGTTGTCAGCCTTGACACGGGCCTGACGGAATCGCTTGGCCAATTCCAAACGGCCCGATTCGCCCTTCTCATCAGCAGGCTTTTCCGTCTTGGTCCATTCCTTGGTTTCATACACATACTCCTTGATGATGTCGTTGTAGTCCTGAACAGCAGCAGTGCTAGGTCGCTCCAAAGTGCCGGCATCAGGTTCGTCAACCTTCATGCGCTCATCCTTTGTCTTTTTGGTCTCATCCTTGCTGATGAAGCTGGGCAAGGCGCTGGCGTCAATGCGCTTGGTGAGTTCGTCGAGATTCTTGGTGAAGGCAATCTTGCTAGCAACAACAGGATCCAAGAGAGGGGTGATCAAGCTCCACACTGATAGAAATGTTAGTAACTCTGTGCTAGATAGGATCATCCCAAAACACCAATGTACTTACCAGTAGAGAAGACCCAAGGAGCCTTGTGAATCAAGCACTGACCCAAGGTTTCAGGGTAGTAAGCCTCGAAACACGAAACCAAGAACTTGACAAAGTCAAAATCCTATATCGAAAAATGAGAAAAAGCGAGGTTACACATTCAGTACTGTTTGTGCTTGGCGCAACGACGTAGAGACACGAAACACCCCAGCTTACCATGTTCTTTAGTGTAAAGTCCTCCATGTTGAATACAATGCAGGCAGTTTCCATGGGCTGGTTGACAACCAGACGAGAGTTTTCCATGACATACATGGTCAAGAGCTTGACGACCTCAGGAGACTGGTCTTCCTTGAGATGGAAGCGGACGTTGATGAAGCTATTTAGGAATAGTCACTTTCGTTTTAGGCTTTTGCATGTCCGAAACGACCGAGGTGTCAAACAATAGATAAAGCAACATACCAAATACCGCGACCATCCTTGTCGGGACCTCCAAGATAGGCCTTACCCGACTTCAAGTTCCAGGTGAACGACGAGCCCATGCCCTTCTTCAACTTTTCGAGCTCGTCCTTGAGACCCGTCTCACCCAAAGCGACAATGTCATCGACACGGTTCACCAAGCGCCAGCGCAAGGTGTTGATCAGCATGTTGTAAGCGGCGTCAAAGTCCCACTTGCGGGCACGGAGGTAACGAAGTACAACGGCGTCTGGGTTGTCAGTCTGGATCATGTTCCAGAAGGTACCTTCCAACTTGGAGCCAGGGATCAATGGGATCGCCTTTTCAAGAGGAAGTGACATCCAGTTGGGATCCGTGGTGGCGCCAATGAACAAGTCTTCGGTGGTTGTGTCCTCCTTGTTGCCACGGCTGAAGAAGCCACCAGACTTTTTGGGTGCCTCCTCGGTCTTCTTCTTGGGCGCAGGCTTAGAGTTGGGATCGCCAGGTTGCTCGAACAATGTGAACAGGCGCTGCCACATTTTCTTCAACATTTCGGTTTGGGGATCGGTCAAGTGTCCGAGATGGCCGGCAACAAGTGCCTCACTCAAAGATTGCGTAGCAGCAGGAGCCATTGTAGTTTCTGATGAGTTTTAGAGAAAAAAAAAGAGAGAAGAGTTATTGTGTGTGTGTGTGTGTTGTCAAAGAAGGTTCTCAATGCAAGAATGAAGAGAAAAGAACTTGCTAGCGGAAGGCAAGGTACACCCCACCTTTTAAAGGATTTGACTGTTTCATTGCAAGGTGCTACGAGTCTAACGGATTTGGAACTTTCGCGCTGAGTGGTGGGGTTTGTTTCCCTAATCGGTAACACACTTCCTTTGTCCCTCCGCCACACCCCCCTCCCTCCTTCTTGGATCAGTGCCAGAATAAACTCACACAGCCATAGCAACTACAGCGATAGCACCACCACCACCACTACTGCTACCATGGTGAAACAGATAGAGACAACCTGAGAGAACGGATAACAGCTGCATTCTTCTCGGCATGCACATGACGACATAAATACAGTGATATTGCAGCAACCTCAACATATACAAAGGAGATCGACAAAAGATCATTAATGCTACCGGGTGCTCCGCAGTGTGAGAATCTCACAAGACTACCTTGGTGACAGGAAAACGAGTGAATCACTTTCATTCGTGGAAGAAAAATTGTAACTGCATGATATAGCTCATAGAAAAACTACTGGATGATGAAGAAGATGATGCATACATTCGCACTGCATTTTGTCGTTTTTGCTCCTTTGGTTGATGCATAATAGAGTGATGATTACCACAGTGCGTCGCGCTATTGCTGGTTAAACCTGTGGGAACAATACTAGATCATTTTTTTCTTTTAATGAATCTACTTCCCGTCTTTGGCCATTATCCTATATGTCACTCCTTGAATATCCAAAATGGTTTGAGCGTTCAAAATAGAAACAGGCACGGGAACACGGAACCACCAATGTTGACATCTTATTGTGTCTATGAAAATTACTTTTCGTATAGACACACTCTAGCCAGACGACGTTACTACTGTACATTTTAAAACTCTCTGCAGGAAAAGAGAACCACTAACAAGACATTTATAATCCACAGTCTCTTGTCTATAGCGACGATTAAAGCTTGTTTTACTGCTGAATGTTCGAAAATCTAAAGTATAGCGTTTCTTAAAAGCACGTGCTGAACCTAGTTTCATCACAAGCAGTTTTTTTGTTGGGCTGCGATGTATGTATATTCAATATAACAGTTAGGCAACGACCGTCCACCCTGTGTATGCACAACCCACCAAGCGGTAGCCAGCAAATCAACAAGCCATAGGTACATACGTAAGTTGTGTCACGCAATCGACAAACCCCGCAACGTGTATGACATTAACCAGGTTAAAGCTTTGAATAAATGCATAATATAGAGAGAGTGGATCAAAAAGAAAAAAAGGTACAACTACTATATTGGATATTCGTTAGCCATAGGCACTTGTTACTGGATGACAGAAAAGGTCTGCCAGGTCTATATACTCTTTTGAATCTAACCTTTATCTCATTCAATACTTGTGTTCACATTATACCTGATTTCTATTTCTTTCGAATGGGTCGCTCCGCCCATTTGCGTTTTTCGAACTTTGTTCCTATGAAGAAAACATGTGAAGCCTTAACTTCAAACCCCAACCATAATGATCAACGCTTTGCGGCTTTGATGCATTCGCGCAGTAGTCAGATGTTGAGCGAAAGAAGTTATAAATGTTACATCAATTACCCGCCCCAGCAAAAAGTAGCTTAGTATCTGTCTCTGTAAGAAAGTATACCAGATGTTAATTTAGAGCATCAGAAGGCAAAAAAAATACAACAGTCGACGACAATGATGGGTCAGTAATACGTGATAATTTGCATGAATGTGCATGAAAAACAAAAAAAAAAACATAAAGTGAGCAGAAAATGGTGCCTCACAAGAATCACATGCTGATGCGCCCACCATTTCATGTGCGATGCACTGACCTTAAATCTTCTTTCCTGTCTATCACTTTTTTTTACCGTCCGTTGCACAAAGCATGTTACTGTATGAACAGTTACATACTACTCCTATTACTATTACTACTACTGTTGCGACATTGTGGCTTTAGAATATTCCCAGTTGAAATGGACCACTACACGAATTGTACAAGAATGGTCGTCAACCGAAAATCTCGCCATCGTAACTTTTTGTTCCACAAGCAGCGCTTCTCGCATTCGTAACTGGAAAGCAAGTATTTCGCAACGAAGATCGAGGCGGAATAATACGCGTCGACAGGGTCCAAAACAATGGAGAATGATGTGCCATCAACGCTCAGCTGTAGGTTCAAAAATAGTGCCGACTGACTATAACTCGGACTTCTTCTTTCGACCGCGCTGTGTACTACTGACAACACGCGTAATTGCCTTTTTGCTATAAACTTTTACGCTACATATCTGATTTTCACCGTGTACACTTTGTTATTTATTTTTTTTCACGCGGGGGTGTAATAAGTGGACGAAGAAGGATTCAGGCCATAATAAAACATTGTTTCTGCAGCTATAATTGGGGTACCTGAAATCACGTAAAGGTAAACTTGGGGTTGTTTTCTCCCCAATGGAACCTCAGAACCCACCCACCCTATTTCCTCACAGTAGTCCGTGTATTTGCGTTTTCCATTTGAAATCCTTCTTTTCTTTTTTGACAACCACACTTTTTGCCAAAAGTGTGCATATGTAAAAATCCACCGACTTTTACCAGCATATCCTTGGTACTTGCTGCGGAAATCATGAATAAAACTGTTGTGCCGTACATTTTTTGCTGCGACAGGTACTGTCATGCATTATACAGCTCTGCAAGATTTTTGATTGCTTACTGTATGTCTGCTTTCATCTTGCGTCGCAACAAAATTTTAGATAAATTGCGCGAGCTTCGATATATTTACTGTATATGCATTAGATACTTGTTACATAGAAAAGAATGTCACTAGGTATACATGTGATGAGTGTGAGTTGTTGATAGGTAAATAAAAGAGTTCAAATCAAATAGAAGAGTAAAGACAATATGAAAACCAGTGAGAGCCTACTATGAAATGATTTATATTGAATGACTTCACAGCCCTTATTATGCTGTCTACAGTATAGAATTCCGTTTAGATAAACTGATGAATAAATCGCGGACATGTGGGATGTTGGATTTTTACAAGATGAGGAAGGTGAAGTTTGGATGCCGTGATGATGGATATTGTCTTCCGAATGTGATATAATTATCTTTGCCTTGATCAATGTGCTCCTCATGCAGGGTCACCCTCTTTGTCTGTATTGGAGTTGATTTATGCTCTTTGGCAGGAATAATTCACTCAACTCAGATATCTAGACCGAAAAAAAGCGTTGACTAACTCGAGAATTGAACAATGTGTATACAATGGCTAGTTCTGAGCTACATATTCTCAATTTTGATCCATGTTTGAGAAATTATTGATAAGGTGCTGCTTATATATTATCTATGCTGGATCATCCGCACGTGTGTGTGTGTTATTCCCTCTACTGCATTATAGTAGCTAACAAAGACGATTGAGTGGGTTAGAATTGTCCGGATCAATCCCAAAGTAGCGTGACTAACCACAATATATGATATTATGTTGAGTTTTAGTAAGAGTCTTTTTCAGAAATTCCAACGGTGTGTATATAGCAGCAGTACACTCCTACTTACTTTAGCGATACAGTACTTTTATCGTTTATGTATGTTAAACGGTGGTACCACCCATATCGAACTGCGAAATACATCTAAGGTATTGAAAGAGTTGAACAACAATGTAAAAGCAATCAATAATAACAACAACAACACAAGAATCATGCAAGAAATAAAAACTGCATTCCTGCTTTTCTGGTTCTGGTTCTGCTTTGATCGCGTTTTCTACAAGTTAGTACGTATAGAGACCATGTTGTGTGTAATAAGGCATCATACAACACTGCTAATTGAAAGATCATCACTGCCAAACCTTTTATAATGCTTGATATTCTTATGCATCACGCTCATGGACATGCTCCAAACTGGTAATTCCTTATTTCCAACAGCAGTACATATTATTTACACGGAATGAATAAAGATCCATCATCATGCAAAGAGGATACATAACGTAAGAACGTCATGTCAATCTAGCATATCCCGCTCAAAAAAAAAGGCAATAAGTGATGATATCATTGTTTGCCGCATGATTATGCTCTATATGGAAGGGGTTGGGATGAATTCAGTGATTAATGTCTCTACTGCATGTGGCAGCACACGGAAAAAAGTTAAAGTCAACAATACATAAATCACTTGGCCAACAAGAGGGGGAACAATGTACTCTATTTCTTTGGTGGGAGCATACTAGTGCTGCATGATACATTTGATATGATGGCATGTATAACATCTAATTTATGGCAGTTAAGAGAGTGCCGTGCTACCCTGGTGAGTATCATGACATAGCACACCTTCCCGGATGGGTGAAAGAAAGAAAGGACAACCAGTAGTTTAGGGAAAGCCAAGAAGAGCGTCAAATCTGTAAAGCGCAGTGGTTAGTTTGCATTTTATCGATGTCACGATGTTGCTTTGATACAAGAAATGCTTGCCAACAAACACGCCGATACTGAGTTATCACGCCATGTTTTGTACAATTGGGGGTGAGGGTAGGCGGTGATATCGCAATATTCGCCTTGTAACGAGGACGTTGTTTGAGTAATTTGCGCAGAAAAGTAATTGGTCCAGTAGTACGCTTGAACAGAAAAAGGAAATTATGGAAACCGATTTCCCTTTTCAATTGTCTCCCATCCCGTAATTCTTCCATGTCGAAAACTTTAAACGTGAGTTGTTGCTGGAAAGTAAAAATATTGACTGATTCATAAAGTGGGCTTCGCACATACATCACATAGACTTGATTTTCTGAGCATAAAGTGTACAATAGAGATATTGCTTTGAGAGTTCCAGACCTTCTTTCTTTTTGTGGACATTTTAGAATATCCGAAAATTAGAATTTACAAAAACTGATATCTTTAAAGTTTGAAATTTCCAGCTTCCACGTGCAGCGAAATGTATAAACAGAATTAGAGGCTGGATACAAGGAAAAGAGCACTTTTTATTGGATCAGTAAGATTTGAGGTATGAATGCCCAAACGTTGACCTTTCAAAAAGGCTAACAGAGTATGTAACTGTAGATGTAAAGTGGAATCGGGACGTTTTATCAAGATAAGTAATATGTAGCAAATTAGAGTTTGGCCTTTAGTTGGACACCATCATTCAATAACTCCAAGACCTTCACAGCTGAGCCCCAGCACGATTGGTATCCTGAAAATATAAACAGAAAAAAAGTGTGAGTTTTTCAATGATATAAGTGTTGGTATTTGGTTAGCACTTACCGTGAGCACCATGGCCATAGTTATGTACGACTGTCAGCTTCTTGCCATGGTTATCTAAGACAAAGAGGAAAGAATGAGCTTTTTCCCCGTATATGACCGATATCACCAACCAACTACAACTATTTTTATTTTTTTTACCTCGCACTTGTTTTTCAATACGAACACTGTCCTTGCGGCCAGGTCGAAAACCGACATTCTGTGACACAACATTGAATGCATCGGGTCCTTTGCCATGGGTCAGCTCTGGATTCAGCTCATAAACGCGCTTCAAAATATCTCGCGTGATTGCGGGATCGGCCACGGTGCTCTTGTTGACATAGTCTAAAGTGCCACCGACGATCACATTACCGTCCGGACGAGGAATAATGTAGGTATACACATCCGGACCTGAATAAGAAGTAACCAATCATTATTTTTATGACAGACTACTGATGAGGGAGCTCGCTTTCTATGAATGTAGATATTTTTTTTTTTTTACCTTCGCGGTACATTTGTGTTTTGATATGAGGAGCATTGACCAGCACTGTTTGTCCACGGATAGCATTGACCGTCTTGTCTTGAACATCCGTCAAAAAAAGAGATCCAAGACCCGTACAATTAATCACGATATCGGCGCCGTCGTAGTGATCGGCTACCTGACTCAGAGCTTCAAAAGTGCCTCTTTCGATTGCAATGCCGAGCTTTTGCACATTGGCTACGAGCCACGATAAGTATCGGGGAGCGCTCATGGTAACTTTTGTTTCCGAACCATACAAGACAAAAAAAAAGGGTTGCGTTAGCGTGGTTACGCTGTAATACGGAACACCCCACCAAGAATGTGCGCTGATGATATTCTTGGGATGGGAGCAACTCACACGACTGGAATTTGTAACCGAATACAACACCCTTGGGAAGCTGGTCTTTGGGGATGGAGGTGGTCTAAAATTTCCTATCGAATGTGAGCCATCTCCTTGCTGCGAATCAACCAATCACTTTTTTTATTACATTGGTGTATAGCTTATGTGCCCATGCTTCAGCAGCTGGATCCTCAATCTCACTATAGTGAACGCCAGGACAATGCATGACGCCAGCTTCAGGGGCTTCTTTGACTTGTCGTTCGAATTCCTGAAAGGAAATAAGATCAATGTCTATCCACGAAAAAACGAAAAAAAAAAAAAGAAATTCAGTGTAAATTGTGATTGAGAGTTGCTACTACTACGAAGAAAGGTTGGAAAACAAAACCTTGAAGCAGTTTGTTTTCAAAGGCAAAGCTGACAATGGATGCACCCGCCCAAGGTGATGTGAACTCGTGCGTCAAGTCATCCCCGGGAAGATATTTGCCAACAATGGTGATATCGTCAAAACCATTCTTGCGCAACACAATAGCCGTGGTCAAACCAATCACGCCAGCACCTAAAAAAATTTTTTGCAGTCATTTCGTTTATTGGATTTGTTATCGAAGAGAGCGTAGTAGTAAAAAAAAGAACTTTCAAACTGTCAAGTTACCGAGAATCACAACTTTGGGCATTTGCGAGCGATAAAAGAAAGTAAAGAAAAACGAGTCTAAATCACACACACCCCATTCAACATGGCCTTTGCTCCGCTTAAAAAGAAACATATTCAGAAACCGATTCAAGATTAGGTTTGTAAACGGATCTTGCTTTGTAACAATAATAGTAAATACAAGATATGATTGGGTAGTCTATACAGGTAGGTAAAAGGAAGGGATGCTTGCGTTGTGCAGGTTATGTACAATAAGAATGCGTAGTATAAGTAATTTCAAGAAGGCTTCTATTTTAGATTATTGTGATTATGATTATCATGCGTAATTGCTGTTGAAACCAGGGTATTTTTGCTTGTTTCCGTGCGCAGCTGAAACAGAAGATGGCTCCATATCACCACCACCACTACCATCGCTGCTGTCGTCACCGATCATTCCGCGGGTGACAATGTATTGAAGCCGGTCCAGCTGAGCACTCATCCTGCTCCTGTCGCTGTACGCTTCGTTCAGCTGCTGCTGGAGCATGTTGTTCTGACGCTTTAGCATCTCTACGGTCCGCCGCATGTTGGCTGTTTCTTGGTTTCTCTTGGCACGGTATTTTGCAGAGGCCATTTTGTTGCGCTGTCTCCGGTCCTGATGTCGTTCGTTGTCAACCGCAGCAGCAGCACTCTTACCACCACTGTAGTATGTGGGTGGCATCGTTTCGCTCCGTCGTTTGAGAAGCTTGTCGTCCAGCAAGGCTATCGGTGGTGGTGGTATTAGCAACTCAGGTGTTGTGGCTCTGGTTTCGTAGCTTCGGCTTGGTCTGAGCTCGATGGGCAATGATGATGTGCCGTTGGTTGCCATTTTCTGTAGAGGTGGCAACGGGTTTATCCATTGGGGAATGGCGGATGCATCGTCATCCTCGAACCGACAATTAGAATTGCTGTTGTTGTATAGTAGCGAAGCAATATCCATTGTAAAAGGTGGGTTGGGGTGGGGGTATATACTCTGTACAAGTAAGTGTTGGGGAACTTGTTACGGTGGCGCGCACGGTCCCTTTTTATAGACACGTCTCCCTGTGTGTGTTGACGGTTGTTCTAGAAAGGCTGAGTCAACAAAAGCATTGTTTCGCTATGGCGTAATCTTGGCAGCTTGCAACCAACGCACCAACCACACCCAACTTGGCACTGGAAAAGCATGAAAAAAGTTCTTCTTGTGTGACACTTTGTTGGAATTGCGCCATTCTGGATGCACCCTATAACCACCCCATGATAGGTTCCAGCCACCCTTCGCATTCAGCAGCAAAAGCAAGTTAAAAAAAAGAAACCCCGCCGCAGCCATGTTAGAAGTGTTTGGGCATGGTTACTATTTTTGCCACATGCTGCTGCGCAAGGTACTACGGCGGCCCCCACACAAGTTTTGCCGTTCCGCCGTTGTGTAGGCTGCTGTGCACTTCCGCGGACCCCCTCTTATCCCTTTGGGTTTTATTTTTAAAACGGAGGAACGTACACACACACAATTTTTTTTTCTATTACTTCCAACACACAAAAACCATGTGGGGCCGCATATTTCACTTTACTGCCGACGCCGTTCTCATTTCCGCAGTGCTTGCTGGCATCAAACGAAACACAGGATTGAAGTAATAACAAATTCAAATGCGTAGATTCTACTACAAAAGCTAAATTCTCTCCCCCATTCCCTTGGAAATGATAGACCTGCTGTATCCCAGATCGAAAACGACGATGTTCGGAAATACGTGCAAAAGTACCTCGACGTGGGAGAGTGGATGTTTGACAACAGCGTTGTGTTTATGAACAACTCGCCTTATTTTGAGCGAAAGAGCGACAGCTAAAAGATGTATCTATTATATACCACTCCAACAACAGTCCAACTGTAATAATAATAATAAAAAGCACGAGCGCGTCCGTCGTCGTCGTCGTCGTCGTACGATGCCCCTCATGGGATCTATTTATTTCAGTTCCCGCTCATCATTTTCCAACAGTGCATTTTCAACCCCACACTGGGTCCAACACCCGATCCAACTTTTCGTTGTTGTTGTTGTTGTCAAAATAAAAATAAAGAGATTTATTCCTTTTTTTTTTTGTGTGTTCTGATTCTGTGATAGAATAAAATGCAGGAGAGCCTCAAGTCTCAATGTACAAAGCGAGGCGCTATAGATGGTATGAAAGGTATACTAATAGTGGAATAGAATGATGATTGATTATATGTACATGGCGGCAATGGAGAGAGAAATTAGGGCCCAAAAAGGAAAAAAAGGAGATAACGGATTGGTTGGATTGATGGTGTGAGGTGGGAAATTTTAGAGGGTGGGAAAAGAAACAAACAAGAGGGCGCATTGTTGTTGTTGTTGTGCGTGTGATGCGTGCGTGTGCAGTTCGTGTTGGAATGGCAAAGTCAAAAAGCACCTCTTTTTCTTTCTTAGCAAGGTGGAAAGAAAGGCGAGCCGTCAGATGAGACGGATGAGATCGAATGGGCTCGTTTGCTTGCAGACTTGTAGATGCATTGGTTGACCTCGTCCCACAGCAGTTCCGGCTCTGACTCTGCTGCTGCTTCGTCGTCATTGTTGTAGGACCATGCGGAAAAATCGTCGTGGTCTGGCTCCTTGAACACAAACTCTTTGCATACCGCAGGAATGTCAATGAACGTCGGTCTGTTCTTGCGTCGTAATGACGGTGCAGGCGTAGCAGTAGCAAGGATGCGACCCATTGCTGCTGCTGCTGCTACTGGCTTGTGATAGACCAGTGGTTCCTTTTGATGAATGTGTGGCGGATACATGACAATGGGTTCGCAGGTGGGTTCCAGCGTGGACCCAGAGAGACGTGGAAGTACGAATGGTGGAGAAGACATTTGTGTAATTGATTTGAATGACGGAAATTGGAGTATAAAAGAAGAAGAAAAAAGTGATGGAAATATTTGATGCGCCCTTTTTATATGGAAATATGCGGCTTTTAGCGTGCTTCTGCCCATTTTTTAGGTTCCCGAAATGGATGATAGAAAACGGGGACCTTTTTGGGTTTCAGGTTGTCATGGCAGGCAGACAAGAAAAAAGTGGGATGCTAATTTGAAATTTTACAATCTTCCGCGGGTACTGGGCCTAATGATGCCAAGGTGACCCCATGCCCATTTCATGAACTTGATGTGTTTGTATAGGGAGGAAATAGAGAGGGGGGGGCCCCATGGTAATATAGGGCCATATCAAAACCGAAAAGACGATCTCTCTCCAAAAAAAAAAGAGAATTTCAAAAGATCCGGAAAGTCCGATCTCAATTCGTGCGACACAGGAAGAGGGATGCTCCACGGCATGAAATTGATTGAAATTCATGTGTCAAAAGCCATCACCGCTGGGCAGTCGGTCGGCAGTACTCGGGTGTTTCCCACAGGGACTTATCCGACCTGTTCCGATTCCCGCCAACTACCAGTTTTCCTCTCCCCTCCTTTGGAACACTACTACTACTACTACTGCCTGGTCCATCCCCCACCCCCGCTACTAATAATAATGAGATGTAAATCCTGTCTTTTTATTATAATTATTATTATTATTACAAATCCACGATACGCTCCACCCGCCCGCATTCAGCAAGATGCTGTCCGCGGTACTTGATAATGTATTCGCCGTTCGGTCGTTCTGTTACTGTCTTGTTCACAGGACATCCCTATTCCCATCCCATTCCCAAAGATAAAATTAGCTTTTTTGATATAATAATAACAACAACAACAACCCAATGATCTTCTTACCTTATTGCTATTTGAGCATTTGTAATAGATACTTTTGCATCCAGTCTTCCGCTGCGTAGTATTGCCATTGTTCTTCCAAAAGTATCGGTCTTGGTAGGGGAATTCACGGGTTTCAACGATTTTTGTGATGGCCTGCATCTCGCGTCTCCGTCGTGCTCGGCCGGAGGTGGTGGTGGTAATAGGATTAGGAGCTGACTCTTCTTCTGGGCTGGACGGTGCGGCATTACTATCGGAGCCTTCCTTGTCTTCTTCTCTGGAAACAGTGGTAGTCATGATCGTGGTAGGCGTAGTAGGAGTATCATTGTTATTGTTGTCTTTGCTGGACTGGGTCGGTTCTGAGGAGTAATATTCGGCGGCAGGAGATGGATATGCAGAGGGGCCGCTTGGTGCGGTTGTACTACTACTACTACTAGTAGTAGTAGTGGTGGTGGTAGATGGACTAATAGCAAAGTTTATTTAATTACATGTTCTCCCCTCTCTCTCTCTCTCTCTCTTTCCCTCTCATCCTTTCATTTGACTCACCTCATGGATGGAGATGCAGGGAAATAGGATGGTGGGGGAGGTGTTGATGCAGTTCGAGATAACGATGTTCCCATTGCAACCATGGCAGCAGCCGCAGAGTTGCGTCGTTCCTGGTAATCATCCATAGTCTCGCGATGGTGTTGTTGTGGTGGAGGATAGGGTGCAGCCGTGGCTCGGATCATGATGGATCGTCGTCTGCTATTACTGCTATTGTTGTGGTTGTTGTTGCTGCTGCTATTCGTAGGGTGAAGATGAAGATGATGCTGATGCTGATGCTGGTTATGATGCTGTTGTTGATGACTCGTGCTCATGTTACTGCTACTACTCCCACTAGCGCTGCTGCTAAGGCTGCTGTTGGAAGAATGGCTGCTCAAGCTATTGTTGCGCTTGTGTTGCAATCGATGATCTTGCCTCAGATACAGATCCAGTTCCTTGGCACGCAGCTTGGCTTCTTCTGTGCGTCGTTTGTCTTCCTCGACTTTACTGCTCAGGATCAATTTGAGTAGTTCGGGTTGAGACTGGTATTGCGACAATACATCTTGCAGATCGAATATCTGTACAGGAGGAGGAGAAGGTGGTGATGCATGGTTGTATGACTGCATGGTGGTTGACGATGATGATGATGATGGTTGTGGTGTGGCGTAGGATGATACGTGTCGAGAAGTAGTTGCCATTTTAAAAAGTGGAAAGAACAAAAACAAAAAAAAAAGAAATGTGGGGCTCCAGACGAAGCAAGTGAGAAAGTCTAGTTTTTTATATGAAGGAGGAGGAGGCGGGGAAGGGGGGAAGAATGGGAAAGGGGATGGAAGTGGCGGGGTATTTTGCAAATAGCTTTTTGCCGGAACCCACGAGTTTTTTTCTTTTTGGATGGGCTTTTCGGGCATCTCGACCTCCATCATTGCGTCCCATATTGTCGATGCCAGCAATGGAATGCTCGGAGAAATTCAGATATTCTCTTTCTCTCTCTCTCAGTCTCATATCCGGCCATCACATATTCATCCCCACTCTGAACCCAGTGGGTTTTTTAAAGTTTGAACATCCAAAAAGTCTTGTTGCAACCCCCCCCCCCGGGTGGCAGCTCTTTTCACATGCCGTTGTGTGTGTGTGTGTGTGTGATGATGGATGAAGGTTGCCCTGTGTGTTATGTGTGGAGTAACCATCGAAACATCGGCCAATTTCCCGATTTGAAACTTAATTGTGCCACGACACCAGCAGCCCGCCCGCATTTTCCAAGTGTTTACCGGTAAACCCCGCGGTTCACCAATCCGTCATTTTTCGTTTTTTTGAATATACCTTCTTTGCCTTGGGGGAGACCTTTTCCGATCATGCTTTAGCTCTGTTGACAGCCCCAAAATCCTTTGCTTTGCTTTCTTTAAAATCAGCAGATTTCTCTCTTTCCCATCGATATTCTAGGCTGTGCACGTCACACTCTCTCTCTCTCTTTCATACAGAGTCCAACTTGAATTGCCATCCGAGGAACAACAGAAGTGATGGTGTGGAGAAAGAAAGGGGAGCGGAGTTGCTTCCACCATCTTTCTTTTTTTTTTTGGATCGACTAAAGGATTAGCCAGCAAGCGACTACGCCTAATTGTCCTGCCGCCCTCCTTTTTTCATCATGACAGACAAACAATAAAGTCGCGTGTCCGCGGAGCCCCATATAGGACCAGTGAGGATGATGGTGGGGGTGGCGATGCGGGGAGGACGGGATCTTTACAATCTCGCGTTTCCATCATATCACGTCAAATGCCATCATGCCTCCCCGGATCTTCGGTGGTATCCTAGAAACAAAAATTGTTTCAACCCACTTTAACGTACCGTAGATACAGGAACCTATTGAAAAGTTAAGGGGGGGGAGAAACAATTAGCCCCTCCTGCCACTATTGTTGAAGAGCTATTCACAAATTACAAGATGCCTATTCTTGGACTTGTCAAGAAGTATTTCATGTCCTCCTCCGTGTGACATAGGGTTTGAGATATTTCACCAGCATGAAAATTCCCTGACTCATATTTGTAACTCCTTTGGAATCTTTTGGTAAGCTAACCCGATGATAGGTGTACCCCACAATGTTTCTTCCCTCTGGATTCACATCTCCCGGTTCCTGAGCTTCTTTGTTTCATCTACACTCCTTTCCGTCACCACGTCCGCCCCACCCCCCACCCGCACACAAGATTATTCGGTAATAGCAGTGATAGTATCGGCGAGAAACAAAAGAGAGATATACATATCTACGTTGCGTACATGGAGTCTATATTATCCCAACAAAAAATAAGGATTAGGAAAGAAGGAAACCCTTGTATCACACTATCCACCGGATCGTATTATTATTATTAAGTAATCCTCTTTCTATTTCTGTCAGCTGATTTTTATAGTGTCGGCGGGTCCGAGCGACACGGTGGTGGCTAAACCGTATTCCACCAAACTAAATAGTCCATGTTTGAGTGAGCCATCTGGGAAGCTTGAGCTTATTATTACATATCATGAATATGGCCCTGCTGAAAGAAAAGAAATACGAGCCTAAGAAAGAAAGCTTAGCTTGTTATTTATACATGCACCACACAGTAACATTATACAGAACATCTTCTTTTATTGTATGCATACTAAATATACTATGGTTTTCCAAAGCCTTGATAATAGAATGCGGAAGACAAAGGGAAAAGTAAGTTTGCCTAGTAATGTTATACAGATATCCAGCAGCAGAAAAAAGAGTGTGTGCCTTTCTGAAACATCGGGGGGGATAAACCCAGTGCAGTTGTCAAATCCCCTCCTCAAGGGGCAGCTCTACTGAACCTGTGTCTCCTCCACTATTGTTCTTGTTCCATTCACTGCTAATTTCAATACTGTTGTGAAAACGGGCTGTGTATAGTCGGGTATGCTTTGGATAACCCTTTGGACAAATCCACGTCCAGTAGTTGAGCGTTCGGTTCTACTTTCACGATGATAGCAGATTAAGCGACCCCATACAAAGGATCAGTAGCCATTCTGATATCTCGTATAATACTGTTGTACTCTATCATGCCTTACCGTTTATACAGTAAACCAATCAACTTGGATTCGTATGTAAATTATAAAACGAAAAGGACAGAAGCATTTTCTTCACGATATTCTCCACAGCTAATCAGCTGCTGTTGATTTCATTTCAGTTTGCAGGACAGTGGCTGTCAGTCGTGTGGCTCAAAGAAAATAAGCATGAGCTTTTTTTTTTAAAAAAATATGTATCATGCAGCCCGTAACAAATTGGATGGCACAGTTTGCTTTAACGGAGTGTGAAAAATAGACGGTGGTGCTCAAGGACATTTGCTGGCGTGCCAAATCTTTAAAGGGCAAAAACCAAAAAGTTTGGGTTCTTTTTTTTGTGCCTCATCGATCTTTCAATGTCGGTTGACAACTTTAAAACCAATATCTATGAATACCTCGAAACATTACCGACTTTTACATTTCTACGATTATTTGAAAAGCCAGCAACATGTCTTGCCATCTTTAGGTAAAGTTAATCGCTTCGTGGGCTCGTTTGAGAACCTGGAAACGGATCTATCCCTTCCCCCCCCTCCCTTGCCAATCTAAACCTGCGAAATTTATAAAAAAAAAAACTCACGTTCTGCGCGTCTTGAACTATATAAAGATTGCTTCCAAGTATAGGTCGACAAATTGTAATGTCATTTTTATATGTTGAGGCCGATATTCCAGTACAAGATGTCAACGATTGGGTCAACAAGGATGGTGAAAGGTATCCTTGCTTTTTTTTTTTGATTGCTACATTTGGAATCCGTGCTAATGACGCGTGTGTGTTTTGCTTTGCCCTATTTCTTTTTTAGAATGCTACCAGAAGCTTTACACAAGCTATCTCGGCTACGTATCATGGATCGTCACAATAATACATTAATGATGAACGGGACGTTCCGACAAGAATTCAAAAATGCATTGACGGGCGGGTAAAGTTGTGTGTGTGCCTTGAGGACACATTTAGAAATTCTCTTTGGGTGTTGGCTTTTTTATTAAAAAAAAACTTGTGTTTTTCATATTTAGAGGTACACAGCAATCCTTTGGTTTACCTTGCTCTACGCCCGATAAACATTCTGTTGATATTCCGTTCCTGGATCAATACGCGACGCAACAATGGGAATCGATTTTGCATTACATGGTCGGCACGTCATCAAGCAAAAAACCCAGTCGTGGTGTACTGAATCTTCTCGAACGCAGTCAATTGATGCAATACGGGTAAATGAATGGATATATTTGTCAAATGGATATTACACCTTTTCAAATACTGACATGTTTATAGCTCGGATGATCCAGGAACATTGCAGATCACAAACAAGGGATTCCAGTTTCTGCTACAGGATGTGAATACACAAGTCTGGGCGTTCTTACTACAGTATCTTAATATGGCTGAGGTATTACATTTACAAGAGAAACTGAACACGTATAATACATGCTAATTTTTATATTGATCATACACATAGGTTTTACAAATGGATCTTGTTGAAGTATTGAACTTCCTTTTCCAATTGGGCTCATTAGAGCTTGGTGAGGTAATCAATGCAGACTATGCAGGAAATGAAATGGGGAACAAGTATCACTAAACGAATGCTTGTACAACTGTGATAGAATTACTCGGTAGAAACATTGACTCAAACACAACAACAAATGTTAGAGGATTTGCGGGACTATGGAATTGTATACCAAAGAAAGGTAACACAAAAGTGTATTTGATAAACAAAAAAGAGAGAGAAATGACATTGTTCTAAACAAAAAATGCATTGGATCTTGGATGGGTATCTCGCGAAATAAATAGCGAGGATCGCGTCGTTATTATCCTACGCGTCTAGCTACTACCTTGACATCGGGTAGCTTGGCCATCACGGGTGCTGCATTAAGAAATGTAACTGCAGGTGATACCAGCAAAGCGCCTGCGGCTGGTGGTAATGTCGGCGGGGGTGCTGCCGCTGGTGTCGAAGAAGAAGGGGAGCAAGGTTTTGTTATTCTCGAAACCAATTACAGAATATATGCATACACAGGTAACCGCCTTAAAATCAATTCGTACAAAAAAATTAGAGGAAGCGTTGATGATGCGTTGATATTGATAAATCCATACATAGAGTCGCCACTACAAATTGCTGTATTGAATTTATTCGTCCAGCTGCAATCCCGTTTCAGGAACATGGTGGCAGGTGTTATTACACGTGACAGTGTTAAAAACGCTCTGATTAAAGGCATCACTGCGCGCCAGGTAAACGATGCGTGTGCTTTTTATATCAATTGAAACTGAGGGTATCGTGAAAAGTTTCTTTTACTAAATAGTGTGCATCTTTCCTGTTTACACCTTAGATCATATCCTATTTAGAAACCCATGCCCATCCACAAATGCGGAAAAATGTAAGTATAACTGATGCTTGTCTATGACCAAATATTTATTGAATCATTTTTGGACAATTTTAGACACCTATATTGCCACTTACAGTGGTGGATCAAATCCAGTTATGGGAGATGGAACGGTGTCGCTTAAAAACAACTTCAGGTAAAGAGGACTATGTAAAGATGGTATAGATAGGGAGTATGTGTATGTGTAGTTGAGAGAAAGAGCTAACACAAAGACTATTTAGCCTACCTATACCACGAATTCAACATGCAAGCCGATTTTGATGCTGCGGAGAAATATGCAAAGGATATTGACGTGCTGCTATGGTCTAATCCAAAGAAGCGAACCATGGCGATTACTCAAAGGTATATATAGATAAATCTTTATTTTCAATTTGTGCCAAACTACGGGAAATTGGATTATGCCCTTGTAATAACTCATCGTATTACATTTCTTAGTGGACATGACCAAGTGAAAGGTTTTGTGAAACGGCGCTTGCAAACTCCTAGGCAGTAACAGAAAATAAGAAAATGTACAATAGCTTCCATGCATATAATAATACGTTCGGTAGAATGAGCCACTCTGTAAATAATATAAACATTACTACTACTACTACTACTACTACTACATCATCGTCAATATCCTCTTGATCAAGGTAAAAGGGGGGAATACTTGATTGATTGCAAAGTACTCGGACTCTGAGAGGTTCTCTTTGTGCTTGGCTTTCTGATTCATGCAAACTAATTGATAGAATGGGCCAAAAAAACATACTTAAAAAATGAAGTCCTGGTAGTCTCTTGTGGATCATGTTGCTGCTGGGAACCAAGTTGCTTATCATATAAAAACCTGGTCCACTCCGACGTTGCATGACAGTTACCGCATTACATACTGACAATCGCTTCATATCAAGGTCAGTCCATGCATGTATACATCCAATAGCAGATAAAGTAGTAGAGTTGAACGACATGATGTGAGGAACGGCGAGGGCAAAGGGACATTTATGTCTTGAAACCATTTCATGCCGTGTGATTCATACATGTGTTACAAACAGGGGAAAAATGCCCTGATGACTATGTAAAGTTGTCAGCTGAACTTTTTACAGAGTCAGGCACGTCAAACGCTTATGTTGTGGAATCCTTGGTATACCTATTTTACTTTTCCTACAAAGCTTTTCTTTTCGTCGGCTAACCAGTGGTTGACCCCCTTTTCCCTTACGCAGCACACATACACACACACATTAAAAAAGCTGTACGGTCTAATACAGGTGCGCTAATAAAACATTATTTCCAGTAAACTGATTCTCGTCGACACACAATCTTGGACTGATCCTCCCCCTGCTCAATTTCCTCTCCCATTAAAAAAAAGATTGTCGGTGTGCTGTCATGCGCTACAGGAACTTTTTCTTGGTGCTTTGTGCCATTGTCGTCATTGCACGACTGTTTCAAATACGATTGCTCAAACGATCGTCATTGGAATCGCCAACCGCACCAAGCGTGACACCGCTTATACTGCCAGTGGTAAAACGAGGGCTGCAAGAGGACTACTGTCACATATACGAAGGTGTCTTTTCGACTGCCACCAAAGCGCTCGACAGTACTACAGAATTTATCAGCGAGCACGTGGATAGTGTGCAGGATGCGGTGGAAGATGGCTATTTCTGGGCAGTTTCACGCTTAAATCATGCCGTGGACATGCTACGAGACGTGATGATGGACATTTATCTCGCACCTGAACTCGAGTGGTGTATTTTCTGGTCTGTACTTGATCGATATTTACATCAAAAACAACAGCAGCAGCAGCAGCAAAAGCAGAAGCAACATTCCAACGACGAGACTACTACTACTACTACTACTACTAGTCATAATAAATACTACGGCGACGGCATAAAATCTGTTGTTACACTGGGCGAAAAGTACGAAATGAACTGGAACCAAATCGTCTGCTCTGCACCGCTGGAATACGGTCTACGAGCACCACAACTACAACAAGATTTTCGCAAACTAGCCAGCAGTGCGATTGTCAAAACACGCCACATGATCCAAGCGAATCAAGTCCACTGGCTGCACACCGTGCGCGGGATCCAACAATCGGTCATGGATGCACACTCGCATATTCTGGCACACTACGAGAAAGACGAATCCAAAGTGATCAACAAGATGCGCACATCAAGACGTCGACTGAAACGACTCGTGCGTCGTCAAATGAGTGAAACGCAAATGCGATCCTTGCGAAGCTTTCATCGGCTTGACAAGACAATCCACAGGATGTTTCATGATGCAGGCATGACGCCTATCGTCGACACGAGTTCCCAGGTTGTTTGTTTGGATGAGCTGCGCCAACAAATCATGCATGTAGCCCACAGCCAATATGAGCATGGCATTGGACGGATCGTGGCGACGGGCAAAAGTTTCGGTGATGCTGTCATGGATACGCTTGAGACATCCTTGACCGTATTCGTGGATGGAAGTGGGGGTCCGCTCGTGGATGGAGCTGCTTCTTATTACCGCATCGGCGTCAATGGCACCGATGTCATGGTAACGACGGTTCCCATGGTCATTTACTCTTCTATGAAGAGAGTCGATGTTGATTTGGCAACGCTCGCACAAGCAGCCACGGATATATCACAAGAAATGGAGGTGCAGTTGTGCGCATCATGGGAGGCGGCTTCTCAACAGATGAGTCGGTCTGAATACACCTGGTATCAGTGGCTGCATGATTGGTGGTATTTCTTAAAGTTTGCGCTTTGGGTGGCACTCAAAGTGATTGTTTCTTTCTTTTAGGGTAAGTTATCCATCCTTCTCCCAGAAGATTTGCTAAACGTTGCTTATCCTTATTACAATAGTCTTGAACGATCAGACAAAAAGTCACATACACAGCAGGTGCTGTACTTATCATACCACACTCTTACATAACCCTGTAATTTCGACAGTCATGATGGTTCTCTTAAAAAGAAACACGTTGCTGTCTTTTTGGATTGTCATACTACAAGTTGCAAACACATAATTTAGTATATTAGAACCATATTTCAAACCAACTATTGCATTACAAAAACATGTACTACGCAGAGCATATATCCCCTTCAGAATTATTCTTTTACAGTACCAAATAAATAATTCACGATAAAGCATCCAAGAAACTTTAAACACATTGCTATATTGTAAGGAATTAGAGATGTCTGTGGAACTTCGAAAATTACCTCGAGTGTCATCATGGTTAAGTACTAGTGACGATGGCTATCGATATGTTTCAGTTTATCCAATTGATTGACATTGAATGTAGACGTAGTAATATGCTCTACATATCAGTATATCAAATACCTAGATCTTCATAGAACACAGTCTAAGAAATGCTCGGATTACGCAAAAAGGACTCTAGTAACATGTTTATTTAATACTGAAAACTTTTTGATAGCTCAATCGATCTTTGGGATATGTGTGGCTGTTTGAAAGACAGTTTCCCCTGTATTTTACAGGTAAAAAGAAGGGTTTTTTGGGGGGAGGGAAGAGAGAGAAGAAATGTACAAAAGGTAAAAAAAAAAAAACTATATCTGATCTTTTTTAGGGCTTCTTGTTGCTTTCACTAATTTCTTTCAAGATGACATCAGCTCCTTTGCTAAGCAGCTTCTGAGCCACGCGAACACCAAGCTCTTTTGCTACAGCTTCTTTGCTTTCCATGGAAGCCGCTAAATCGACAGTTGTTTGGTCCTTGCATTCAGCGACTTGCTTACCATCCAAGCTGGCAACCAGACCATCAAGAGTAAGCGTATCACCTTTAAAGGTCGTCTTGACACCAATAGGAACACTGCATCCACCCTCCAGTTCGCGCATCATGGCACGCTCGGCAGTGCACACAATACGTGTCTCGAGGTGATCAAGTGCCTTGAGCAAGTCTTTGACACGTGCGTCATTGGCGCGGCATTCAATGGCCAAAGCACCTTGCGACACAGCATAAAGCATGGCATCATCCAGATATTGATTGATACGGCCACCCAAGTCAACACGGATGAGACCTGCCGCAGCCAAGACCAAAGCGTCGACTCCGTTTTCGGGGTCATCCAACTTTGAAATGCGAGTATGGCTATAGATCCCCATCATCACATGTTAGTCTAACTCTTTATCTTGTTCCATAGCCACCCCGTATTCTCTTTTACTCTTGACCACCCTCCACAAAACACATGCAAAAGAATAAACTTACATGTTGCCACGCTAATTGTACCGTTTTAAAAAAATCAAGAAATATTGGCATTGAGTATGATACTGCTTTTAATACCTGCAAACAAAACAAAACACACTTACAACACTCTTGATCTCCAGATCAGGGCGTCTGCGCTTAATTTGTGCTGTACGACGAAGACTGCTTGTACCAATCACAGAACCTTTCGGTAAGGTATCGAGGGTATAGCTCTTGTCTGTGCGCTCGGCCAACACAAGAGCGTCATTGGGGGTTTCACGGTCAAGAATGGCGCCAATTTCCATGCCGGGTTCCAACACGGTAGGCAGATCCTTCAAGGAGTGTACAACAAAATCAACACGACCGTCGTCCAAAGCCAACTCGAGTTCCTTGGTAAACAGAGACTTTTCTCCAATTTTGCTCAGGGCCACGTCGAGAATGCGATCGCCCGTTGTTGCCATTGCTTCGATTTTGAACTCGTTCTCAGGGTACTTTTTCGCCAACGCGTCTCGTACAAGGTATGCTTGTGCTAAAGCAAGCTGTGATCGACGTGTGCCAATGACGAACACTTTGGAATCTTTGGTTGCTGTGGCCATTATGTGTTGTTGTTGTTGTTCTTGTTGTAAGAATATATGAACAAGAAGGTTTGTGTGTAAGCAAGAAAACAAGGTCTAAATAGTGTCGGCATCAGAAAATAGTGCGGGGTTTTTGTGTCCATTAATAGTTTGAAGCTTTGACGTGAGAATTTCAAACAGGCCTATGCTTCATGGTCTGAGAGCCACGGATGATTCTAGTATCTATTGTTGCTACCTTGCTCTTCTGTTGTCGTCCAATCAAATCCAATACGTAATAAGCTGCAAGTGTGTCTCTACCCTCCTATGTTTACACGTTATAGCTTCAATTCGGGAACCCTATTAAGTATGATTTTAACAGTTGGAAAGGTTGGTTGGATGATCCAGCCGAACATCTTCCGACCTCTTACATCTTAACATGCTAGTCATAAACTATCGAATTCACCCTACTTTCCATTGTTTACAAGTCAAGAATTGTGACAAGAAGAAAAAGTGAAAAGAAAAGAAGGGAGAATTCTTCTTCATCTTCACCAGCGTATTTTAGGAGGGAAAAATTTAGCTATTAAATCTGTGTAAAATGGTTTAAGGGACTCAAGGTCCGGTGGATCCTCTACTAGGTTCGATCCAAGATCATACTTGTTGAATTGTTTGACCCACTTTAACATTTCAACATCGTGGTCATCCATGAGCCAAGCATACTCTCCTTCAGTATGCCACGAATAGAACGAGTGATAGCGTATGATGGCCAGGGCTTCGGGTGGCAAGTAATTCTTGCAAACCATGTACATGTACTCGTCGTGGCCGAAGCTTAGATGGACATTGCGTAGTCCGCAGTGTGGAGTATAGATACCATGTGCAGAAGAGTATAGCGAGTCGTAAAAGTCTGGATTGTTGGCAAAGAATTCTCGGTAAACAATTTTCTCGGCATACCTACATCCTACTGGGAAAGTATCGCCCACCACCTAGTAGAATGCATAAAGTTAAATTTTTGCGGGAACAAAATATAAGGTTTTGCATGCAGAAGAAAAACCCAAACTTACGGTCCACTGTGACTCTCCCATAAAATACAGTATTTTACCGAGATCATGAATCAGTGCGGTCAAGATAAACCAGTCCGGCTGCCCATCTCTTCTCACTGTTTCTGCTGTCTGGAGCGCATGTACCTTTGGAAGGGGGGGTGGGAAGGGTTAGGAAGGCAAATTAACTTATTCTCCATTTTCTGCCTTTCTTTTCAACCTTCTTATTTCTGTAACATTACTTACCGCTTGAGTGGTTTTTACGTCTGGATCAGCACTGTCGACGAGCCCATCCATTAGTTCAAGCGCCTCCCAGACACCCATCCATGCGTTATCCAACCGACCGTATCTCTGTTTCATGGCCAGAACATGCTCCAATGTTTGATGTGTGTGGTTTTCCTTGTAGAATTGTGGGATTCCGGGCATTTTGATGATTGCCTTTTCATAGTTCCTGAGCTGCGAGTACCCACTTTGGTCACGGTTACTGTTGTTGTAATTTGCCGCTAATATTGATGTCCTGTCGTCAACGTCCTTTTGTAGGATGGCATTTTCTTGTTGTATAGTATCGTTTTTTGCGTTGGATCGAACGTAATCTTTGTACATGTGTATCATGAGCTTTGACGAGCTGTTATGTAAATTCTAAAAATGTTTTGGCTTGCTTAACAATAATGAAGAGAGAGAGAGAGAGAAAGAAATGTCAAAACGCAAAAGGAAAAAAGCCTTCATATAGTAGGTGGACCCCGCATAAGTATCTGTACCTGTTTTTTTTCCCAGTCTCGCAAAGTTTGGATCGACCGAGCCAATAGGGATTATTACGCAGAATATTTTACAGGAAGCTATTCCTTTCATGGAATTAGCTACACATTTGGGAGATACGTTTGCCATCAACAGAATGACAATTGATACTTGAAGCTTGCAACAGCTTTCATATGCTCACAGACAATCTATGATTCATTTGAAATATGTAGTGACATATCGAGGATGTTCATTGATAGCTCATAAATGCTTTTCCCGATACACTTTTTTTGTTATCTGCAGACGCGCGGATGATAGCGTTCTTGCAGCGAAATGTATTGTCAGTTGAAGCGAGATTCATGACCCATGATATCATCAATAGCATAATACAATTAATGCAAGAGACTATCTCGAACGCACACTGAAGCCATCATAACGGCAGTTGCTATCATTTCTTTTTGTACTTGATAGTATAATTTGTGGTGTGTACAATGCAAGCAAACTTTCATGTCTGTGTTTCAACCAGCTATTCAAAAGAGGCAAAAGGTAAAAATTATTTTTCTCTTTCGCTTTGACAACCTTTTCATTAAATACAACCGACCATGCCGCCAAAAAAACCAACTGGATCAAACGCGGCAAAGAAGAATACGAAAAACAAACGCCAACGATCGTCCAACAGTGACAGCAACAACAACAACAATGCCACTGTTGCTGCTTCGAAAAAACGTAAAGTCGAGCCCGAGATCGAGTACGAAGACTTGAACAACCTTGATTCTTGGGATTGGAGTGAGGTACCCACTTCGTCCATGGTGACCGATGATCTGGGTGGATTTTTATGCCTGGAAGAGATTGACGACGTTCATGTTGAGTATGAAGGAGACGACACCACTGGCAAAGTAGCCAAGTTTAAGGTAAGCAAGAACAGTGGTTTGGTCTATATAGATCGTGATTGCACTTTTTTGTTTTTTTTTTGACGTCTGGATTTTTTTTTTTGGATCAGCGTGTCAAGAAAGCCGATAGAAAGACAGGAAAGCGTGCCCAACCGGAGATGCCGTTGGGTGTCGAGGATATGAAGGATTTCTACGATGTCGATACGTTTGACGAAAAGCTGGCTGCTGAGGATCAAAAGAATAGAACAGAGGCCAACGATGACGATGAGCCAATGTCTGATGAGCAACCTATGGAGGAGGATAATGAAAACGACGACCAGGCTGTTGGTGCTGCTGTCGACGGAAATGATGAGGAGGAAAAAGAGGAGGAAAAGCCAAAGGAGAAACCGGCCAAGAAAGATAAAGCACGAGACAAGAAGATGAAGAAATTGGAGCAGCTGAAGAAACAGATGGAGCAACTCGAGGCATCGTTGGCTGACGAAGACAAGGAGAAGCAACCTGCAAAAGAAAGCAAAAAGAACAACCGTCCTTCTGTGGAAGATATCGATAAGAGTATGTGTGGAAGCTGTTTTGGGACATACGGTATAAATCATTTCACTGATAGGAAATTATTTATAGGCGTCGATGTGTCGGCTTGGAAGTCTTTGAAATTGATCAAGCCTATTATGAACGCTCTCAAGTACAACAAGTTCACCGCCCCAACTCCAATCCAGCAGGAGACATTGCCCTTGGCATTAGCTGGCCGCAATGTGATTGGTGCTGCTGAAACTGTATGTTTATATGAATGTAGCTATTGTGCTGTGTTAATCAGATGGCGTTACTGATATATATTTTTAACGAAACAAGGGTTCCGGTAAAACACTTGCATTTGGTATTCCTATCGTGCAACACGTTGCCAAGTCCCAAGAACGAAGCGGTGATCTGGCTGGCCTTATTTTGACCCCTACGAGAGAACTAGCTATTCAAGTCAAAGAGCACATTGAAAAAGTTGGCGTGTTTGCAGATATTAAGGTACAGTTCATAATAAAACCTGTGTCATCTTTTTTCAGAGTGGCTGACCATCAAGGGATTTGGTAATTTTTTAGGTGGCTGTTATTGTCGGTGGCATGTCTATACAAAAGCAGCAGCGTATGCTCAAAAACAAACCAGATATCATTGTGGCAACTCCTGGTCGATTATGGGAGGTCTTTTCCGGGGTAATTACTGAAATTTAAGGCTTATTTGTACAAAAAGTATCCAATATTCATCACAAGGAGCAAGATAGCTAAAGATTACATACGTTTTTTTTTTGGTAGAGCGAAACATTTATGGATATGCTGAAGCACATCAAATATCTGGTTTTGGATGAAGCCGATCGCATGCTTGAAAAGGGCCGTTTCGAAGAGCTTACAAATATCTTGGATATCCTATCAAACAAGAAGCAGTAAGTGCCCGCATATAGGATTCAGTGCAAGTAGGAAATAAGTGTTGCTGACTATTATCAAACTCACAGGGACACTACTGATTGGCCTGAAGAGTCTGAGGGTAGCAAGACCCGCGTTGTTAAGAGAGGTAAAAGAGATACATGTCTATTATTTTGGGGTAAAAGCTCGTATACTAACAAAGATAATTGTTGTTTAGACCTTGAGAGCTATCAGACATTCGTGTTCACTGCTACATTGGGCAAAGATATCCGATACAACATTAAGAGTAGGAAGAAGGTGGGCAAGAAAGCACCAGGATCCATGGGTAAGATATAAAAGATTGCCCAAGAATTTAGACACGTCCGGACATGTCTTACTAACTCGAAAATGTGTATATATAGAGGATTTGTTGGAACGTCTGGAGTTAATTGACAAGGATCCGGCAATCGTTGATATTACAACTGAAGGAGTGGTCGCTTCTCGTTTGGTTGAAGCCAAGATTGAGTGTCTCAAGAACGAAAAGGATCTTTACGTCTACTATTTCGTAACACGTTATCCTGGCCGTACGATTGTGTTTGTTAACAGTATTGACGCACTGCGTCGATTGATACCTATCTTTAAGCTTCTTGACGTTGAAGTCCTGGGTCTCCATGCACAAATGCAGCAGAAACAACGTTTGAAGAATCTGGATAGGTATGAATTTTTCGTATTTTCAAAAAGTGTAACCCGTCGTGTCATGACTCTATTACTGATTGCTAATCTCTAATGATTAGATTCAAAGCAAACAAGAACGCTGTGTTGATGGCTTCCGATGTGGCTGCTCGTGGTTTGGATATTCCTTTGGTAGACCATGTCATCCATTATCAACTTCCCAGATCGGGTGAGATTTATGTCCATCGAAGTGGTCGTACAGCCCGTGCTAACCACGAGGGTGTATCGCTCCTACTCTGTGCTCCCGATGAGCTGAAGCTCTACACGAAACTGTACAAGACACTTAAAAAAGGTGCTCACTATCCCGACTTTCCAGTGGACGTGGGCATTCTCAATGAAATGAAGAAGCGGGTAGCACTTGCGACTGAAATTGATAAACTCGAACATCGAGAGCAAAAGGTAATATATACTTGCTAGAAGTAATAATTTCGTTCTTTTAAGCTGATATGTCTCTTTAGTCATCTCACGACGAAAACTGGATGCGAAAGATGGCAGAAGAGATGGATGTTGAATTTGACGAAGAAGAGCATACAAAACCCAACAAAAAGAGCAGCAAGATCAAGATCCTAAACAAAAAGGGAGAACTCAAGCATCTTTTGGCTCAACCTATGCTGCCATTTGGCGTATCCCGGAAATATATCACTAATGGCATTATTACGGATTTGGTGGATCGACTCATTGAGAACAATAAAGGTATGACAAAAATAGGTGTAAATGTGGCTAGGATCAACTTGACTGATAAGCCTAATATCATTGACATAGACAAAGACGTGCTTCTGCCCGCTCATGCACAAACCAATGCACTCGAAACCATCGCCGCTGGAAAAGCCAATTAATTCATTTTTGTATAGTAAAAATATCACCTAGTAGATTCATAGATAATGCAAATAAACACTATACCAAACGCAGCATTTCATTTATAAACCAGAATAACTGACATCAAGTCAAGAGCCTTCCGGCTTGAGATAATCATCACACAGAACCCCACTTTGTTATACGATGGCACTTTTGCCAACTTATTTTAGGTGATCGATCCAAAGCAAAGCAGGCCTTTCTTTCCCGTTTCTCTTTATTATAAAAGATTACAGACGGCTTAGACCTTGAAACCACGGCTCTGGCGTTTACCACGAGCACGCTCGAACTTGCGGCCCTTGGAGCGGACAAAGGGCTTCTTGTTCTTGTGAGGGCCCATGCCAAAGTGCTTGACGGACTCACGGCTGTTCTTGGCACCACGGATCAAGACAGTGTTGGAACCCGTGGGGGCACGGAGAGCCAGTTGATCCAAGGTAAGGATCTCACCACCGGCCTTTAAGATTTTGGCCTTGGCGGTCTTTGTGACACGAAGAGCGGCAACGGAAAGCTTAGGAACTTCCAAAAGACGCGAGTCATCGGTGACAGAACCGACAACGACCGTGGTCTTGCCTTCCTGAGCAGTCTTGACCAAGCGCGAGACGGTGACGGAAGGACGGTTGATGCGCGACATAAAGAGACGCTTCAACACAACCTTGTTAAAGTTGGCATCAGTACGGCGAGCCAAGAAACGGTAGAGCTAAGAATGGCAGATAATCCCCAAATCTTTTCGTTAATATCTTTTTTTTTTTGTACGTTCGTCGTCGTTGTCGATCTATCAACTTATTCCAGATATAATTTTTACCTTGACCAACAAAGCCTGGTACACGTTCTCCGACTTGGGAGCGGTACGGTTTGTGTTCTTCACGTGGTGGTGCTTAAGGTCAATACCCTACACAGGGGCAAATAATAACCATAAGTTATTTTTCGTTTGGAATTTTTATTGTAAAGACGTCAGAATCGAATGGTTTGATGGTGTTTGCTGAATGGGGTGAAGAGAAAAATCGACTTTGAGCGGACGACCAAATGGGGAGGGGTAACAATGTCGAATTCCCCACACCATGGTAATATTGTTTATATCGAATCGATTTTCAATCCATCCATCTCATTCATCCACTCGTCCATCCATCCGTATTCGTTTTGCATCCATATCGATGCTTATCCCCCGTATTTGTTCGTATAGAGCGTCGACACGTACCATTTCAAAGGTTGAAGCAAGGAGGAGATACTGGCTCACCAATGAAATTCCAAATTTGATACTTCCCGCCAAAACGCTCAGACACATACGCTGTAATCCTAGTTTCCCCCTCCCCCCTGCACTCAGGTAAGTTACAGTATCATAAGATCCTCTATTTCATTCTACCAATACCACATGTAGATGCTTGTATTATATCTAGCGACACCTTTGTCGATTCTACATAAACCTTTGAAAGCTTTATTCAAAGCCATCAATGTCCTGCTCCAACCATATAAGGCAACAAGCTATCATGTCAGTTGTTTTGTTTGCATGAATTTTCTTATGACAAGAGAAAGCAAAGAGCCACTGCATCTCTATTACTTTACTTGACCCACTCTGCAACCGAGAAGCTTAGCCACTCACTATTATATTTTTTAATTCTCCCAGCCAGTTGGCTTCTTGACGCAACCTGTTTTTTTACAAAACTATATACTGTGTGTGCTGATTGTCACAAAAACATTTTTGACAGTATACAACAATTATTATCGTTAATTACTGTTGCCAGCGCTATGTCCCGAGGCAAGAGCACTTTTACAACTCGTATGATAGTAATAAGACACCCTGTATGAGTTTAACTTTATTCCGGCTACTTTTGCTGCCATGATCTTGGTAATAACTGGGATGCAACGGAAAGTTATTATCCAGGTCTTGATTATGTGACTACCCACTCGCTCCAGAGTCCAAGTATCCCGCAGCTCATGAAAAACGCATTTGCAGCGCTCTCTTGGGTTGTTGAAAATGGCGACTCCATAAATGTTGACGTAAGCCGTCTTGCTATCTGCGGCGACTCAGCAGGAGGCAATCTATCTGCAGTCATTCCATGTATGCATTACTATGTATATTAAGGATACGAAAGATTGAAAAGACAAAAGTGACAAAATGCAAAGCTAAAGAAGGACACTTTTACCGTTCTTAGTGATGGCCAAAGAACGTGGTCTACCAAGCGCTATCAAAGCTCAGATATTACTTTATCCCGCGACAGCAGCTTCGCGCGACAAGTACGAATCTGCAAAGCTTTTTGGCGGCGGCGACTACTATTTGAAAAACGAAGACGCTATATTCTTTGATAAGGCGTATTGGAATGACTGTGAGAAGACAAAGATCGGATTCCCAATGTTGGCGACCACCGAGGAGCTTCAAGGACTCCCACCAGCTCTAATTTTCACCGCAGAAGCAGACATTTTGCGTGATGAAGGTGAAGACTATGCTCGTCGATTGACCAATGCTGGAGTACCTAATGCCACTGTTCGGGTCATTGGCGCAAGTACGTATTATACTCTATGTTGAAGCATGCTTCTTCTCTTTGTTACCTTACTACTACAGTGGTGGATTGTGATTACTCATGGTTCCTTCTTGTATGTGCTTAAAAACAGTTCATGGATATGCTACTGTTCCTGTTGATACACCGGCGTATAAACAAACCATGGCCATGATTACCAATCAACTGAGTGAAGCTTTTGAGAGAAAGTGAAGTACTATTATGCGAATGTTTCTCTGAGCAATGTAATCGTCGGTGATACTGTGTATATAACATATTATAATAAAATTTCCCATGCAGCAGCAGCATAACCTTTTATGCATTTTTACTGTTGAATCGTTTGTTGTCCCATACATTTATACAGTGGTTCCCCTAAAATTTCATTCTTTCAAATTCATGGAAAGCAGGGATTGTGAAAAGTTAACGAAAGCTAGGTCAAACTGCCATGTACAGATTCTTTATCCAAACAGATCTTGATGTTACATGGATTAACCAACACTCAAGAAAATTGTCACTCTAACGGTCATGTACTTTATGTAGCCTATTGTCCGATACATATACCTGGCCGTATCGACATATTCTACACTACTTGATTCTGATGTTGAATCACATAATTCACATTGTACATTGCCTGCTGTCAAATACATTTACCGGGCCGAATTAACCTTTTCTTCACATACATAATAGATAAAGATACACCAAATGAAGAGACGATGGACGACCCTAACAAGGCTAGCGCAAAACTGTGAAAGAATTTCCACACCATTTCGGGAAGCCTTTCTGAGCATGCTCAAACGGTCGTAGGTTCGACCTCTCACTGCTGTCTGGTAAAAACGTCTTGCCTCAGAAAAACAATCATCTCGCAGAATCCCCAGTGACAAATTGGATAGCCAACGCTTATGATAGATTTACTCATAGAAGCACACCGATGTGCCCTAGTTTTTCAACCAGGTTTTAGATTGTGTGTTTAACGTAATTGTCAGTTTTGATATTGTACATATACTAATAAAAAAAGGCTTGTATTGTGGTAAAGTTAATTTTAGGTAGTTAAAGGTTACAGAGTGAGAGAATCCCTTACAAACAGACTCATTGTTTCTCACACAATCTTGCAGTTGACATGCACTTGGAAGAGCTTTATCCGAAGGCTGGATCATACACGGGCACTTGAATTAGTGTTACGGGCATGCATCATAAAGTGAGCCGGAAGCGACGACAAAACAAGACAAGCCAAAGACAGAGGAGAGATGAATCTAGGTCAAGGCAAGAAGAATATCGGAAGGTCAAGGAGACCAGATGATGAGAAAGGAACAAGGGACAAGTCGAGTGATTACATTTATATTTATGAAGGTTGATAAGTTGGGTGATGATTGACGATAAAGATGTTGAGGGATTGAGTAGAGGTCAACGAATAGTCATGACAGGAAGGGCCTCTATTGGGGTTAAAGCGATGCAAGCGAAATTTGAAAATTGACCCACAAGTCGCTTCAATAGCGGACGTTGCCCATAAATTGTGCCATTCGCTGCGAAAAAAAAGTTTCTCAACGAATTGGATGCGGTGAATAAAGCCAGCAGTGGTATTCCAGCTGTGTCGGGGGCCTTCGAGCTATCGCCGGGTTGACATCGTGCTTCTACTTTTCGAAGTAGGAGTGGGGAGCTGAAAGTTCTTTTAAGAATGATCAGTTTCTTTTCCCATTCGTTCCCCACTTTTTACACAAAAAAAAGAAAATGACAATAATATAGCATCTGGAGCAAGTCCAGCTTACTCGCTAAATTTTCCCCAATTATTTTTTTTTTCGGGCGAGTCCAACTTTTGCAAGCGGACCAGCTTTTGCTAGCGGACTCACATATAATCTTGGCGAGTCTATCAGAGTCTGTCAACTTTGACAAACCAATTTTCAGCAGTGCTAGCAACATCTACGTTTTGTGTGATTATTCTTAAAGGCAAAGGGTTTTGTGCCATCACAAAAGAATCGGCTTGGGCTCACTCACATGTATTAAAGAAAGCATAATAGGGGGTTTCACGCTTGGGAATTTCTGCTTTTTAACAGCCGAAAAACCGCATTTCTTCCGCAAGAAATGCAAAAATTTCTAGTCAAGAAAAGCACTTTCTGAGCTGCTTTTCTTGCAAGAAATGCGCTTTTCTTGCGCTTGTGACTTGCAAATTCTGGGTTGGGATGGAACTATCATTTTTACACGCGTAAGACGCGTCGAAATAAACTCTACTCCTTTCTGCTCAATATGACAAACGAACACACCACAAATGCAACCACCACGGTCCATAATGAGACTTCACCTGTAGGGAAAAAGACACTAACGTTACCTTTCATTTAAATGAGTTAAAGTTAACTTCGGTATCTTTTGTGTACAAAAGGCCAGCCGAGATCACACTTCAAATGAAGTATGTGAAGTAATGGTCAACTGGCTTACCATTCGTGAAAACTTCGAGAAGTGGTCAGGCGCAGGCGAGCAGTCAGCACCAGGCATAAAAAAGAAAGGAACGAAAACAGCCGCATACACTGAGATGGCCGCGGCTATCAATGAGAAAACTGGTGTTGGTTGGGACTGGCAGAAAACGAAAAGCCGTTTCGAAAGTTACAAGAGACGGTATATCAGTACCAAAAGAAAGTCGGAAGCTTCTGGCTTTGGCAGAGAGATCAGCCTAAAAGAACGTAAAAAGGGCATAAAAAATATTGTTGACAAACTCAATCATATGTGCCCCTACTTCTATGAGATGGATTCAATCTTTGGCCAAAGGGAGAATATCAGCCCAAGCACGGTTTTGCATGCTGGCCTTCCGCCATCGATCTCTGCACTTGCGGCCACTCTTGTGCCAGCTACTGAGTTACCTGCAGTAGAAACTGCAGTAGCAGCAACACCAGTACCAACAACAGCAACTGAAGAATTGCCGACGAATCATGTTGTCGACGAAAACGTGCCTTGCTCCTCGTTCTTCGAACAAGCAGATGTCGACAGCGAGACACAAGAAATCACTGTCGACAATTTCGAAGAGTCTATGGAACGATTCTTGGAGCAGGCTGCACCCAGTCCGGAGCCCCAGAATGAGGAGGTGAACAGCATTGCTTCCAGCAGGGTAAAAAGCGGCTCTGGCGATGACGACGATAATGTGCCACGCGGCAGAAACTTTACTGCCGTTTACTCGGTCAATGAAGCCAAGCGACGCAAGTTAGAGTCGAAAAAGCTCAAGCTCGAGCATGAGAGACTGCAATTGGAGAAGGCGCGATTGGCAGAACAGAAACGTGCGTCCCAGGCACAAGAACAGCAGACTTACGCTAGTGACAGGACCAAGTTTTTCATTGAGCTGTTGAAACTTGGAAAGACTGCTGACGAAGCCAAACAGATAATTGAAAATGTATACGAGTAGTCACTGGCATTTTATGTATAAACAAAAGTTTATTGTCTAGATGTAAAATCAACTACAATGTTTTTGAGGAGGTCTCTTTTCCCTTCTGCGTCTGAAAGCTGTGATGATGTGCTATGCTCATTGCTTCCATTATCATTTTCGGTGTCCGGATCCCATTTATCATTGCGTCGGAAGAGATAGTTGTGGAGAAGACATGTTGCAACGATTATTTCGTTTAGCTTTTTGAATTCGTCCTTGGATCTCAGTTGCAATGGGACATTCTTCAAAAAGCGCCACCTTCCTTTCAAGATACCAATCGTATTTTCAACAGCCACCCTACCTGATGCATGCTGGAAGTTGAACGTTTGGTAATCCTTGTGCAGTCGGGCTGTTGGACTGCGGTATGGGGTGATCAGACGCGTCGTAAGCCCATATCCAGAATCACCAATTAAATATTCGTTTCCTGAAAAATGGGCAGCAGGAAACAGTCCTGGAAGAGATTGGCTGCTATATACGCTTGCGTCGCTCATAGAACCAGGACATCCGCAACAGATGGATCGGATGTAGCGGTTATCATCACATATGATCTGAAGATTCATGGAGTAGCGTGATTTGCGGTTGAAGTAAACTTCGCCTTGTTCTTTGGGTCTTTGAGCAAAGTTGACATGAGTGCCATCGACGAAACCGACACACCAGGGGAAGCCGGTCTTGGATTCTATGCGCGCAGCAATCGACTTGCGTTCTTCTTCATCAGGCCAGGACAAAAAATCAGTCAACATCAATTTGTTGATGACTCCAATAACGCGATAAAAGCATTTGCTGACAAAGCCTGTAGACACACCCCATTCCATCCCAAGTTTCGTAGTGGAGTTTCCACTTCCGTCGTGTGCGAGTCTTTGCAGCGTGATGCCTAGCTGCGTTTGGACATCTATCTGAGCTACACGCGACTCGCTGTTGAAATCCGGATGGCCCTCAATAAGCTCGAGGAGAGCTTTGAACGATCTTTTGTTCATCCGCACCAACGTTTTGAATTGCTTATCAGGCCATTGCATAAAAAACTCGCGTTTTTCTTGCAGTTTTGGAACGTGACCGCGAGGATTGAGGTATCGATGGCTGCTGATGCCAACGTAAATGCCAAGAAGCTCGTCGCAATCTTCTTCCTCTTGGAGCAATTCGCTCGATTCATCGTTGCAAAGCAACTGCCGCTGAATGCTTTGCTCAATGAGCTTATTGACTCCACGTAAAGTCCTTTGTCGCTGAGTGATTTTTGGCATTGGAAGGTTGATTGTAAGAACGTAGTGTGTGAAATAAAGTAACAAATTCAAGAAACGTTGACGCGAAACGCGTAGCAGCTGATGTTGAAAGTTTATCCGTGATTGTGACTTTGCTTTTTAAACTGAAGAAATGCGCATTTCATTTTCTCATTTTTTCCCAAGCGTGAAACCCCCTAATGGTTTAAGTGTGGTTGAAAATCGACTTCCCTGTATGCCCCTAAGCACCAGTGAAAGATGCTCTCGCGACAATGTGCCGAATAAGGAAGCATGTCGATCCTGTTACACACAGTGCTTGTGATCCAAGAAAGAACGATGAGCACATTAAAAGAGCAGGAGGATTTTCTTACGGGTTGTTTTTCTGATAAAAAATGACTGATGCCGCTGCCTTGTGGTGATGTAAAAGAACCTATCTTTGATCAATGAATTCATCACCGCAGCCCTGCGTAAGATTTACCTAAACAGACTGCTGCGGCGTTCGTGCGACTTCGTTACCATGGCAACCCGTTGCTGATAGCGTACTCTTTTTAACCCTTCTGGTCCACCACGCGGTTTGTGTGTTATCTATTTATATCAGCTCGGTTTGCATGAAGCAATGATCCTTTCTTTCTTTCTTTCTTTTTCACACACGCCCTTTTTCCTTCTCTGTTTATCATCCAGGATGAAATGCTTTTGGAATTGGTCTATTAATGATCATACTAGAACAATACAATACTACTTGATAAACTCCTTTGTAATGTTTGACTCACCCTGTTATAGTGTGGCGATTTAAATGCTTATAGCAAGATGTACAGATTACCTTCAACAGCATTCATTTGCAAGCTGTATCATCATTCTATTCCATTTCTTATAAAGGACATTTTTTTATCGTCCTGCTGAAATCCAATCATTTCTTTGTTATCAACGCCTTCAATTTTGGTCTTTTGCTTTTGCATTTTGATCTCCAAAAAAACAAAAAACCACAATACGCTCACGTCAATACCAATAATGGTAAGTTTTTCAATTGACACGTTGGATCTCATTGGTGTATCAGTAGCAAATTTTGGGCCGTAGTAAGGCTCACTTACCCCGTCAGAAAATGCCTGTTTGAAGTCTTCATTGACAGTGTACATACAATTGTTTTTTGTTGGAGCAAGATAAGTTTAGATAAGATTATTGTTTCAAAGAGTACAACTCCATATGTATGTGAACGATCGCTAGGTGTGTTCGTTACAAGAACCATCTAGATAGAAATTCAGAGATCGGTTTGGAGCCTACACATTCAAACAAGAGAGCAGCGGCTATCATCACTGTCATTGAAATGCTTCCTATGCATACATTCAACTGATGTAGTTCAGCCGTCTATGGACGGTCCGAGCTATTGGAATTTACGATTATCGTCGAATCCGTATAGTCGGAAGAATATAATAGCGGAGCGGAAATGCAAAGGGGCCCCGAAGGAACGCGCACTAATAGCTTAATTAACTGTACAGTGTATGTGAGTGTCAGTTTTTCTTTTTCCAAAAAAAAAAAAAACTATGCTTCGTTCATTAATTCGCTCGATTAGCCACCAACAATTAGTAGTACGACCACAAGTTGCAGTGCGACGAGGACTTGTCGTAGCACGTCAGCAGCCTCGTTGTTTCCAAGTACGACGTGCTTTGCAACCTACTGTTCAAGGACGTTGGTATTCGAGTCCAGCACAGCAATGTTGGCAATGTGGCGCACCCACAAAGTCAACGTCCGTCTTGTGTGAAAATGCCGATTGTAAAGCGATCCAACCCGTTCAAGCTCAAGTTAATTATTTCGATTTGCTGTTGGATGGGTAAGCTATTTTTCGTGTTTGTTTTGGAAGGGGTGGGTGGGATGTGCATTCCTTTGAATTGGGAAACGAACAACTCATAAACCTTGGGAGGGTGTTTTTATACAGAAAAGAACATACGTTTGACGTGGATACCAAAGCTATGAGGTTCAAGTTTTTGACATTACAGCAAAAGGCACATCCGGATAGTTTTTCACAATCATCCAAGGTAAAAGTTTGCTTACTGCTAGGTTAGCTATGCAAAGCCAGGGGTTGATTTGTTTGATTTGACTGTTGGTTTTTTTCTAGCAAGAACATGCGTATGCACAATTACAATCATCAATGCTCAACAAGGCATATGGTACACTCAAGGATCCATTGGCACGAGCACGATACATGTTGGAACTGGAAGGGGTGGAAGTTTCAGAGACGGAATCCTTGCATGACCCTGAATTACTGATGGAGGTGATGGAGCTCCGTGAAGAGTTGGATGAAGTGTCCACTGAAGAAGAGCTGGCTCAAGTCAAGCAGACAAACGATGGTATGTCACAACCCCCCCCCCCCCAAACCCACCCAGTCGCTGCTGTAAGATGGGGTTTACAATGTATGAATTGTTATTTCTTTTTTTTTTTTTAGCAAAGTACCAAGAAACAGTGCAAAACCTGTCCAAGGCATTTGAAAAGAAGGATTTGGACCATGCCAAGGAGCTGATGGTGCAACTGCAGTATTGGGAAACGATTCGACGCGCCATTGTTGAATGGTCGCCACAGTGATTTCAAACCACACACATTTTAGAAAATTATTGTAATTTTAGAATAAAATAGAATATGAATAAAACATCTCGTAGATCGCAACTAATCATCATTATGCAGAGATGGTAGCTTTGCATTATCATATCGGTTTCAGAGCAGCCCCCTTTGAACTTTTTATATAGAAATTACATGTACTTTATAGAAAGAGCAGATCCGATCTTCTATTGACTCTTTGTGCTCCCAACCCCCGTTCTTCATGCATTGCATAAACAATGAGCATCAGTGCTATATATATGAGAGAGAGAGAGAGAGAGAAACAGCTAAAAAGAGTAATTTTTTTAAAAAAAAAAAAGTTGGAAAAAAGGCTAATTTACAGGTTACAGGGACCTGTGATATGCAGGAGCTTCTGTTCTGCTTTTACACACAATCGGGATGGTGCTGCAATGCACGAAATTGGCTTGTGCACCAACTCAATATATTGCCCAGATTAATTATCATGATTATTCAGCCATCATTGTTCTTTCCCTGATGTTGCTCGTTCTTTTTTTTTTTTTTTTTTTTTTGCATGTGCACAACAAAGCCCTGTTTTTTTGTCGCACCCAAAAATTGATAACTCTTTGCAAGACAATCGATGATAGACCCGAAAAATCGGGGTGTCCCGCACCACCACAAGAGGGAAAGGGTAGGGGTTGGGGTTGGACATAGAGCAGCCCTCTGGTCTGAGATGCCCTAGAAATAGAACGGTCGGAGAAGAAGGGAGATCGTCGATTTCTTTTTTAAAATGAAACGGACAACGTGGCCCACGTTTTGCAGCCCACACACACACACAGAAAGAGAGAGAAAGTAGCAGTAGTAGTGGTGATGTTATATATTTGAATAGGGCTATCAGCATCGTTGTGAGCAGGTTTAAGCCGTGCGCTGTTCTCTGTGACACCCATCCACATGGAAATACAAAAAAATCAAATATAATCTCGTCCAATGGCCTTGGCTCTTGACAAATGCGGTGAGCTAAAACACACAAGGCTCACACACACACACACACACCAATTCACATGGACCGGAAATAGGTTCTGTAAGTAAAAAAAGATAGGCGCACATGCCAGTTTCTCTTTGCTTATGCTGGCTCTGTTTGTTTGCGTTAATCTGTTTGTTATTTGAACAAGTGCACCTCAGGGACATCACTGAATGAGAGACAAGGGATCGCTCTCATCGAGACTCTGTGTTCTCTCTCTCTCAGGTTTCTGTGCGCGCATCAAAAAAAGCAGAATAAAAAGTCCGCATTTAGTGCAAGTTTGAATCGGAGCGGACAAGAAGAGGGCCCTTTCGTTGTTCGGGTAAGAGAGAGAGTGAAAGAGAGAAAGAGAGAGCGAGAAGCGCGGGCAAGTTGTCTGTTGTACAGAAACACTCGAAAAATAAAATTTCATCTTTTTGGCTCTCTCTTTCTCTCTCTCTCTCTCTCTTATTTCACGCTTTGTTCTTTCTTTTCCTCTTGCTTTCCTTTTCCTCTTTGTATTTTTCATTTGCAGATCAGCAGGGCCATAGCAACAGCAGCCATAACAACAACAACAACAACAACAACAACAGCCATAACAACAACCCAGCAGGCACCGCTTGCGCACGTCAACCAGCACCCGAAAACAACAACAGCTAAACACACATCATTCAACCATGGCTACACTGGCCTTGAAGCGGAGGACTCCCTCGCTCGGTACCTTACCCACCGTACCCAACATATCCGTCATGGAGAATCCTATGCCACCGACACCTGCTTCGATGAACAGCAAACCAGCCGTCCAGGGCTCGTCCCTGTACCACACCTGTCGCTCTGTCTGCGACAAGCTTGCCCTCGTTGAAGGCATGGAGGAATATCTCACCGACGACGCCATGACCCCTTGCACATCATCATCATCATCATCACCCTCATCATCTGAACCATCGACCCCGACCGCCGGCGATCCCTTGTCCAAATTGTGGAGCATTTGTCGTCGAGGTGCGCCACTGTGCACCCTGTTCAACGCACTTCAACCCGAGAAACCGCTCAAAGTCGACCGCAACCCTTCGTTGAACCAAGTCAACAAGGGAAAGGCAAGCGTCTATCATTTCATCGTCGCCTGCAGAGACCAGCTCAACTTTACCGAGGATGAGCTGTTTACCATTAGCGATCTGTATCAGGACGATACCAATGGATTCGTCAAGGTAAAAGAGCAAGTGTTTCATTGTCTTTGGAACACACTGCACATGCTATTCCCCCCCCCCTACACCCCTGGGATTATCCCAATTCTTATTTCGCGTACTCTCTCTAGCCCTCCCTCCCCCCAAAAGAAATATATCTCCCCAATCCCCCCCAGATTCTTGTGCAACAGAGAGTGTGCACACACACACACACACAGACACACAATTTACACGACCCAACCCCACTTTGCCCTTGTCAATGAACGTGTGGTCGTACTAAATTTATTTCCTTACATTAGGTTGTCAACACCGTCGACAAGCTTCTCCACCTCCTCGAGAAAGATGGCGTGATCACCGTCCGCTCCTCCAACAGAAACTCGGACCCAAATGCGCCCAAGGACACACGAGACAAGGTCGTCCTGGAGCTGCTTGAGACCGAACGCAAGTATGTCCAAGATCTGGAGACGCTTCAGGTAAAACCAACCAACCAACCACCCCCACACACACCCAACACATCCGCGATCTCTTACTCAAAATCGAACCTGTTAATAGAACTACATGCGAGAATTACAAGTACAAAAGATCCTTTCGCCCGACACTGTCCACTACCTGTTTGGCAACCTCAACACGCTTGTCGATTTCCAACGTCGTTTTCTGATCCAACTCGAAAATGCAGCCGAGAACATCCCCGAGGAGCAGCGCTTCTGCTCGCTGTTTTTGCAGATGGAGGATGCCTTTGCCGTGTACGAACCTTATTGTGCCAACTACTATTCCGCCCAGGACCTGGTGGTGCAGGAAACACCCAAGTTGCAGAAATTGGCAGATATCATGAATCCGACCTATGAGCTGCCTTCCATGCTCATCAAGCCTGTCCAGCGTATCTGTAAATATCCTCTGCTGCTGAGCCAGTTGATCAAGACCACAAACTCGGAATGGCCGCACTATGCAGAGATGAACGACGGTCTGGAGGCGATCAAACGCGTCACTGAAAAGGTCAACGAGACGCAGCGGAAGCATGAGAATTTGCAGGCGGTCGAGGATCTGCGTCGCCGTGTGGATGAGTCGCAGGTAAGAAAACACCGTATAAAACGATGAAACGTACTAGATAGAATGCTTACCGATGCCTATCATCTAGCGTGACATTGTGGAAGGCCACGGCAACTTGTTGCTCCAAGGCAAACTGATCATGCTGAGCGGTGACAGCGAGCGTGAACTGCAAATGTTCCTGTTTGATAAGGCACTGCTTATTTGCAAGGAGACCAAGGATGCATCAAAGAATCGTTTGACCAAGACCAATACGCTGTCGATCAAAAAGAAGCGCCGTGCTAGTCTACAAGCCAAGGGTCGGATCTTCACGAGTCGGATCATCAGCATCGCCAACAAGTCTCAACCTGGTAATTTTTTTACTACTGATATTGCATTCTAAATTATTTGAATTAACTCTTGATGAATGCCTGCATCAGGTAATTGGCAACTGGTGGTCGAATTCAAGGATCGAGACATTGAACGCTTTACGCTCAAGTTCCGTCACGAAGAACAGCTCAAGCTGTGGGAAACCACATTGACCCGAACAAAGGCGGCGCACAAGACCCATGTACCCAACACACACCTGCTCTCCATGTCTGCACCCATGACGCCTGTCAACTCACAGAGCCGCAACGATGGCTTGTACCTGGATGACGACGATGATGAGGACGAGGACGACGAGGACGAGGACGATGATTTCCAAACCGCTCGATCGCGCAGCAACTCTGTCTCGGCACAGCAAATGTTGGGCATGCGACCCAAGATGCCGCGCAACAACAGCCAAGATGCATCCATGTTCAAACTCGCCAACGGCAGTCCTACCGGTGCTGCTCGCCATCAGCCCATGCCAGGCATGAACTTGTCGCCACTGCCACGACCCTCGAATGCGGGTCTTCCGGCCTCGCCACCCATTGACTATGGCGTATACCCTGCATCACCACCTCCCTCCAGCCCCTCGTCCCCAGCCAACTCGTCCAGAACATCCATGGGCACCACGTCCTCGTCATGGCACCGCCAACGTGCCGATACCGACGCAGGATCACCCCTGGCCGATATTGCAAACAAGTTCATGACAGCTACTGACTCGATCACGCCTGCTTCTGAAGAATACAGACCTTTGGGTGGACCCCCGGGTCGCAGCCAATCACATTCTGCAGCACCTTTTGCACAACAACAACAACAACAACAACAACAACAGCAACATCCAACAGCACCGATGCCCATGCCATCCACATCCTCACCACGCAGTCGTGTACGATCACAGAGTAGCCCGAATATCCACAAAAATATGCAGCAGTGGGACGAACTGCCACAAGTCCCCATCAACTCACGCACATTGTATCGCGACAACAACAACAACAACAACAGCAGCAGTGGAGTACGCAACGTAGCATCGACCCCACGCCTGTCAGAGATGGCGACCTCACCAAGCTTACAATCCCAAATCGACCGTGTTGTGTCGGCTGTGCCCAACTCTCCGGGAACCGTCAAGATCAAGCTGAGCTATTGCGACGGGATCTATGTGATCATGGTGCCTCAGGAAGTGACGTATCTGGAGCTGATGGAAAAGGTGGAGAAGAAGATCCGACTGGTGGCCAGTCTCAAGGCAAGCGACATGTTGCGCATCAAGTATCAGGACGAGGATGGCGACTTGATCACGATCAACTCGGACGACGACGTCCTGATGGCATTTGAGAACCGAGGAGCGAATACTGCATTAAACTTGTTCGTCAGTGTTTAAAACACGTCTTTCAAAAACGACGACACCCTTATCCCGCATCTGTACCATCACTACTACTATTACTACTACTATTACTACTACTACTACTACTACCTGCAAGGCCTTTCGTTTTCTCCATTCCCACATACCATCATTCCCACCTTCTTCTTCTTTCCGAACATTTGCGCACGCACACAAATCACTGTTTTCGTTACTTGCTATATTTTCCTAATACTGTTGTTATTACTTGATCATTCTCCCGCATTTTTTTAAACAACCCCACATTTCCTTATGGCCAATACCCTCGTTTCTTTTCCACACCACACACACACACACACACCCACAAAAAACCCTTATAATTATTTCCTCCTTATTATTGTTATTTTATTCGCATTTTTTTATTCTACATCCTTTTTTTTTCTAGAGAAAAGAAAAAGACAGTTCCTTTCCCTAACCACACACACACCCCTCTTCTTTTGTCCTATCTGTTCTGGCACAAGACAGTGTGCTCTCTCCCACATTGATTCTCCTATACTCTTTCTTGTTTTTTTTTTGTCTTGTAAATAGAAATTTGTCCTCATCTGCTATACTATAAACTACCTTACTCGTTATACCAAAGCTTCTTTAACATTTTTTTTTATCTATAAAGAAAATTATTAGGCCATGTGGTCTTTTTTTTTGGGTGCATAAGTGCACCAATCATGCTGCATCTGACATTGAAAAATAAAAAAGAGACATCATCCAGCATAAAAAATAATAATATCAGTGAAAACAGGCATTTACAGGAAGTGTTTTAATGGGATATGTAACGAAAAAGAAAAACAAAAGAAAAACAGCTCAAAACTGGGGAGGGATGGGGTCCTTTGAAAAAAGAAAAGAACAAAAAGACAGAGAGAGAGACGGGAGGGAGGGAGCGAGGGAAGGGACAGACACAAAGAGCAAAAGAGGAAGAGGGGGCGGAGTGGTGGATGTGTGTGTGTGTGTGTACGTGAACAATGAGAGTGCTTTTGAATGTGCGTTAACAAAGGAGAAAGAGGAGGTGCTTTCGAGTGAACATGGGATATATATACTTTGCAAGAATAATAGTAATAAGAATGATAATGACGATGGTGGTGACGATGGTGCTAGTGATGGCAAGGCATACATGTCTCTTTTTTTCAATTAGCCATGACCAAGGGCTGTTGCTTTTGCTGCTGCTCCTCTGGTGGGGAAGGAGGTGTCTCTGGCTGGTGCTCCTGTGTCAATGGCGACGACTGGTGGATGTGGTTCTTGATGACCTTGATGCTCTCCGGACTGTTGGGTGGCGAGATACGCACCGGCGTCGAGATCCTCGGCTGCTGGATGTATGCCAGGGCGTTGCTCTTTGATATTGCCTGTTGCTGTTCCATCTTGTTGTTCAACGTGACACGCCCATGCGTCCGCTCCTCAAACAAGGTCATGATGTTGCCATGGTCACCCACCCGATACGACACCGATCCTGGATCTATCCACAACACAAAATCACGCGGCAAGTGTGTGTGGATGTACACGGGTGGGATCGATGCGTTGTGTGCAGCTATTCACACCCCCCCACAAAAGAAAGAAGAGAGAGAGAGAGAGAGAGAGATGAGAGGTGTCAGCCAGCCAGCATAATCAAGGAATGGCATCCATCTCTTTTACAACAAAAGAAAAAAGTTCCATTTACCCGTGACCAGCACAGGATCCAGTTGGCCATTGAAATTGGAGATGGCTCGAAAGGCATTGCCTCGGTAAGGTTGCTGTGGATCCCAATGGTAGACAAAGCGCTGTTTTAGTAGTTCAATGAGTTTGTCTTTGAAAGCTTGCAGCATGGCTTGGTCTAGCTTTGAATGCAGTAGTCGACCAAGGAAATCGGCTGCCTGTGCGATTTCCATATGCATAGTGTTGAATGGTGGGGAAGGGCGTTGGTGTTTTGAGTCGTAATTATGCTCAATGTGTGAGCGATAAAACTGTGTTTGTATGGTTGGTGAGTCAAAGTGGGTTGGTTGAGCAATGTCTTGTTTTGAGAGAAAGAAGAACAGAAAGAGAGAAAGAGAGAAAAGGGACAAGCTAGCAACGAAGGGAAAAGGAAAGAAGAAAATAAGTAGCGGGGTGTGTGTGTGTGGGTGGGTGGGTGTGGGGGGGGGGAGGAGGGAGGAAGAGAGCTTCTTGGGGGGGGGATGCGGTTCATAACCAAGTACGCACGGTTCCCGTGTCGCATTAGGCAATTCTGCGGACTCCCTTTTCGACTCAACGAGCATGGTCAAAAATCAATTAAAGCGAGAGAAAGAAAGACAGACACCCCTCACACACGCACATACTCTCATCCGGCGCACCCCGGTTGTGCTGCTACTAAAGAGTCATGAAAAGTCACTACTACGACGTGTTCAAGAAGGAAAAAGCCCCATGGTGTTTGTTTGTTTGCTATTGCTATTATTAATGAGAATGACGCTGAGATGACGACGACGAAGACGATGATGAATATGCAGCACAGCAAAAAAAAAAGAGAAAGAAGCAGCTCGTGGAGGACCTAGTAGTATGTCATGTACCTGAATGCATTTCGCATTGATACTCAGCCAAAGTGACCACGGTGATCATTACCGTTCTTCTGCTCGCACGTTATTTTTGACCACAAGAAAAGTCTCCTTTTCTTCTTTACTACTACTACTGCTGCTGCAGCCAATGTACACTGATTTGGACAGTCTCGATACGCATCGGTAGACCAGACACGATTGAGGGGAATGCCGTGTTAAAACAGCAGTTCATAACAAAAAGGCACTGGGACACAAAGGTGGGGCTTGTATTGGAAATGCGGTTGTGGCATTACTCGGGGTGGGGGGGGAGGAGGTTGGGCTAGATACTCCGAACAGTACAGTAGTAGTGCTGCTTATAAGATCTTTTATAAAAGCAACTTGGGTTACTTCTCAGCGTCTGCTAGTTCGTTGTATATATTTGAGGCATGTCTACCTACCACACTGTTCCAAGTAACGTAAGAAAATCAACAGAATGCTGTGGGAGGGTTTTCTGATATTAGCCCGCTCACAGTCGGTTGCTGTTTCCACCGACGTCATAGCATGAGAGTTCTACTGTTTCTTTCTTTTTTTGTTATAGTATGAGATGATGAATGCATAATAAACAACAAGCTCACTGTATCGCATCCGAGGTCCTTCCTCTTCTTGTCGTTTCATATAATAAAAGTCTCCGAGATCTTTTTAGGAGACAATGACATTCATGGGTTGCTATAGCTTCCATCTGACATGGAAAAGACCTTACTACGCTTGTTAAAGTTAGAATTATGTCACGCTACATACTGTACATTATTTCATATACACACAACACGTCAAATGTATGCTGTACTTCCAATCATGCACCTCACAGCGTGTCACCCTTCTTTCATGTAGCACAGAATATGGCACACCACCAAAGAAACGAGTGCGTCGCTGTAATTGAAAAAAAAAAAAGTGGGACGTTTGCTGATCAACGTCGACAGGCTGACTCTTTTTTTCGTTTACCCAGTGATTTGCTGCATATGGACTTGTTACACTTGGACATGCTGTTAAGGCTTGAATGGATAGTTCACTTGTTGACTATGGCGGGGCACGTATTCCCATAATTTTGATAATGGGTAACAACACACACACACACCACTCCAACTCACGCATGCAGCCTATCAAACCAGTTCCCCGACTTTTACTTACCATAGAACCTCATGGTGTCACCCGTCGATAAACAAGTTTTGTAAAAGCTCTACAGGGGGGAGCGCATCCTGCTGCAAACATACCAGAAAGTTCTGCCTCTCTTTTTGGTATGCACTTTGCCAATCCTCTGTCACACACCGTACGCTCGTTTTTCCTTGTTTTCGAACACATGAGCCAAGACCATTGTCCATCTTTAAATCAATTCCAATTATTGACATTCAAAAGGGTCAATCATACAGACTAGGTCTTAGCCCAAGCTGTACAACAGAAAATCATCGCGCGTATACTTTTGGAAATGAAAAAGATGATGCCTTTTGTAGTTCAGAGATACTTCCACCATCATCGAGTAGCTTGGTTATTCGGGAAGAACTTGGATACAGTACGCAAAATAAATAAAAAAAGCAAACGCGTGTGATTGAATTGTAACCCGAGTTTTTGCCCTGAGCTCAGGTCTCACAGAATGATATGATTGCTGCATATTAATTAGCAATGGAGGGTGAAAAAAACAAAAGGACACTTGAGGAAAGAAAAGGGCAGAACACCGACAATTCTAGTAGCGTTACACTGTAGTACTTGACACAGTAATCTTCGTATGTATAGCAGGGGATCAAGCCTTCTTTTTTTTTTATCGAACAACAACAGAAATGTAGTTGTATATAGCATGTACTAATGCTATACCTGGTTGTCACAATGGGTGACATGCTGGATATACATCTTGGTCTTAACAAGCGTTCCACAACACTGGCCACGAGCAGCTAACCGCACTCCCAAGGATGTTGGCCTGTGTAGCGTAAATTCATCACTCGGATAACCCGCGAAAAAAAAACACTTTTATACAGCACCTTGGTTAGTTCAACGGGCAATATCGACATAGCATAGCGGTAATGATATACCTCTTTTGTTCTCTCATTGATGGTTTTGTAATACAAACGAATGTACATAGGATGACATTGCATAAGTAAGCCAGTATAGGGTGACCTGTGTCAGAAACACGTTCGTAGCTACTGTTTCTGGCAAAGCCTCCCTTCCCAAGGGCATTCATGATACTTTTCTCGAGCATCTATGCTATAAATCATCTACTGCAACGTAATCCAACTGAATTTTTTCCATCCAGCCAAATTAAAAAAAAAGCATGCCAAAGTTTCATGCAACGCGAAACTTTATTTTCTTACAACTTTCCATCTAAAAACACCACAGCTTCGTCCTTTTCCTCTGTCTTTATAACAATATTTTCAATATCCAACATGATCCGCTTACGCCATTCCGATCTAACAAGAAATTCGGCATGGGCTAGCTGGGTCATGACCGTTGTATCGACGGACTGACGGATTAAATAGTGAGTGATCAGGTGGGTATTCACTATGGCATCCTTCTCCGAGAGATAGACGGCTGAATTATGGAATGGGCTCTTTAGGTCGCGCTTCTGGTTTGGTAGAATGGGTGGTTTTGATGATGTATTGGTCTCATCAACAACAAAGAAAGCTGTTTGGTACCAGTGGAAATGTCGGTTGATATAGTAGCTAATGTATAACTCTCGTGATGCGAAATAATGAATAAAGTACTGCGTATATATAAAATCAGCAATTTTGAAATGTTTTTCACGACTCTTTTCGAGAGAAGAAGAATAAAAAGATTCATACCTCGGCAGGACGCTTCGGAACTCGATATAACATATTGTATGCCACATAGTGATGATGAAGTAAAAAGCATATAGGGTCAATAAGAACGAGACCTGCAACGAGGTCTGGAGCCAAGTTGCCAATCCAGCTAGCGACCGCTGTTCCCAAAGAGTGAGCGACAACAACAGCTTTGTCGAATCCGTGCGTGTTTAACATCACTTGGATTTCAGAGACTATTTCTTGGGGCGTGGGTACCTGAATTAATACTTCTTAGCGATCTCACTCTCACTCTCACATACTAGATAAAAAAAGCCAAGCTATTGTGGTCTCACATACATGTTCAACCAAACGACTGGATACGTGTGGTAATTCGATGCAAAACACTGGACGATCCAAGGCAGTGATACGATGTATAAACTCAGCATAAACATTTAGACCTGTGCCGATACCGTGTATAAATAGGATCGGTGTTGTACTTGCTGCCTTGCCCTTCCGATACCAGTAGGCGAGATGGTAATGTTGTGTGTCGTCTGTTGACCCCAAAGAATGCTTTACTGTCTGGCTATGTGTTGTCCGCAGCGGTGGTGATGAAAAAAGGTGGAAAAGCATCCCCCACCGAATGCCTGGTCGATTCGATCCATATCGCCGATATCCCGCAAACATTTCCAGGAAGAGAAGGTTGAAAGTACCAGTCATAAGATAGTTAAATGCGTACGCTATCAGTGGACGATGGACGTAACTGAAACTGTCCAAGGTGGGTCGAATGCAACGGATGTGCGGGTTGTAACCTTTTGGAAACTTGACTTTGAACATGACCTCGATAGTGTGAATCATCCATTCTAGTTCAGCTGCAAATGTATCAACCATCCGTACATTTTCTGTGCTATCACACCAAAATGCCCAAGAAAGCCTGGGTGTGTATATATGTATAGAATACAAGACAGTGGGCCCGTGTCAGATTAGTTCCTTTAGTTGATTTAATAAACTATCACTCACCAGAGTGCAACATTCTCTCTTTGAATTTCTTCAAAATTTGGGTGCTCAGGCTGGCCATCGTTCCCAGTAGTATACAAAAACCACCCGGTCAGCCAACCCTCAAAATCATCAGTGACCGTGTGGACGCAGTTCCAGTATAGACGGTATCGTTCTTCATCTGAGGGCAGCGTATCTGGTTTCAAATGACGTTGTAAGCGGATCCACGTTTGTCGAAGATAGATCCAAAATATGGCCTCCAGGAAAAGCCAAATGAATAAGACCATGTTGTTGTAAAGGTATGATGAGCGCAGAGACGTCCAAAGTTATGAGCAAGTGCTGCTGCAGCTCAAGAAATGGTATTATATTATTTATAGGGTTGTTTGTAGAAGTTCCAAGCAGAAAAAGGTCGTATATAAAGGAGATTACTCTGCATTATTGAAGGAATTTATGATCGATTCAACAAGTACCGATATCAGCAACGAACTTTTTTGATCGTTTCTTTGTTTTTATGATGCATTGTGTCACTAGTTGCTTATTCCTCTTAATCTCGCACGCAGTGAGTCCAGCTCTGGTATCGGGCGATCAAAGTGGCGCTATCATTTGCACGGCAGTGAGTACAGTAACAGAGATCATGTCATGTATAATTCACTTACATTCAGTTGTGAAGATACACGTGGGACCACATTATCCAGCACAAAGCCAATGTTCATCTGAGCAATAGAGCGCTAGGAAAGTTCCAGGGTAAGAAAATGAATGCAACTTGCGTTTTATCACTGATTTGCCTTACCTGGCCATTCGACTGTTCTACCATTGCACGCAGATAGCTTTCAGTGACTCTTGATATGCTTCGCACCACAGTTTCATATAGCTAGAGAAAAAGCAAGTTATTAAGTGGTTTGCTAATAAGCGATAGCGCATTTCTACGTACCTGCAGCTTTGCAATCAGGCAGATATCATTGACATATTTGACCAACAAGTTGTAAAAGGTCACTACACTCGAGGTTACTCGAACGTCGGCACCTGCAAAAAAAGTGATGAATACATTTACTTTTTTTGAGGCCCTCCTTATTTGTGCCGCTGATGGCCCATCCACTATTTCTTACCCAAATTTTGGCTGGACACGATCGAGAAATTATCGGCTGCCACAAATTTATCAGCCTTTTCCATGCATCTCTTTTCGTACGCCAGGATCGTTTCGCGCACGTTTTCCAAGAAAAAGTCTTCCAACAAAAACTTTAGATCAAGTCCCACTTTCCGGAGCTACAAAAAGATAAACATCCCTCCCCTCCCAAGGTGAGTATAATCATTTTTAAAACCGACTCTCCAGGCAGATTACTTTCAAATATATATATATATATATATATATATATACATACGATAGAACATTGATCCAATGTAGACTTGAAGCAGTCTGCAATTATCTGGCAGTTCAATTGGCTGTGATTGAACACCTGACGCTTGTAAATGTCAGCGTAGATTTCAGTCTGCTCACGCACCCAGGTAATGAACCGAGAAGCCATTTCATTTTGCTTGAAAGAGTCGCGATACCACTCACACGTGTTTCGTACGAGTGTAAACACGACCAATGCTAACTCATTGATATACGTTGTGCTGTCTCCTTCAAACGTCAATTGTCTAGAAGTACCCATGATTTCGTTAAATCATGGATTGTATATGACCGGGTATACCAGCACACTGCGTTGAATAGGCAACGAACCTTATCCGCTTTTTGATAATGAGAGATCGTGTGTTCAGAAATACTTCCCGTGCCTAAACCAGTTGTGTCAGTGAATCAATGACGCGTTGTGTGAAACAGAAAATAATAACAACACGAATCGATCTGTTTACCTCTTCTCCTTTATCCAATCGCAATAGCCAATTGACGAGTCGTTGAAATTGAATTTTTGTCAATAAAATGTTGCTCAGGTCGTGGCTAATAATGGATGATAATGACTCTGTGTATTTGTCGACTTGTCGTTTACTCTCTCGAAGCAACGGCGTCTCTCTTTTGTACGAACTGAAAAGCTTGCGCGCTAAAATAGTTATATAATACATATCACATGAGCAAACGATGAAAGTGACGTTAGTATAAATAGTGTCTCTTGGTAAATGTACCTTGTTCGATATCCTTCACTGCGTTCTCAAATTGTCTCAGAGCAATTGCGACTTCGAGTTCATCGGGTAAATAGCTGAGCCATTTTTGATCGGCGGGATTTATTTCTGCATCCTTGCCGTCTTTTGCATTGTCACCTGCATCGGCTGCACCCTGATCCTATCATCATGGTCGTCAAGCCGTTACTATAACAAATAAATGTCATTACGGTAGAGACGATAAAAATGTATACCTTTCCGTTCTTGTAACCCACTATATAAGAAATTTTAGTCAACAGCATCTATCAAAAGAGAAAAGAAAAAACCTCAGTTTTGCCACTTACTTGAATTAGGCTGATCCTCATGCCTATCACCATTTTCATCCATTGTGCGTCGGTAGGCATGCAGAAGAGCGAACTTATCTTCTGGTCGTTCGGATCGATATACGAACGTGTTGGGATACACCGAGATCTTGATGGCATTGATCAAGCCTAGCAACTCCAAGTTAATAACCCCAAGAAGATCAAAATTAGCTATCAAGCCCATTACCCTGTGAATCGTTGATATCCGTAACGCTTGCATCCTCCAAGCTCCAGCAGTAATCAGCAACCAGCTTGTATCGTGAAGTAGCAGATCTCTTTTTGCGAGAAGCAATAAGCAGACAGTCGTTGAGCAGAAAGATATGTACTGCTGCACGGGGTTGCAAGGTGTTGGGGTTGATATCCAGAAAATTGACGCATTCTCGAACGATATGGCGTCCGGGCGTGTAAGGGACAAATCTCTGCAGGCAAGAACATAATTAGAAGTCTTTCTGCGGCGGCGGTTACTTTCGTAGACGATAGATCAGCCCTTTTTTCTTTATATTAATATACCTGAGATCCTTCAACGTTATCCCATAATGCGGATATCTGAGCTCGGTAGATACTTTGCAAGTCAGTAGTCATGATGTCCGTATGCTTCCGTTGCGGCAACACTGCTTTGTTTCCAAGACCGTCTGCTTAAAAGAGAAAAAAAAGTTGATCAAGCCATACTGCTCCCTATTGTGCAAACCGAGAATCCTCATTTTCATAAAATAAAAGTTCTATTGTACCTGTAGGTTTGATTTCTTCTGTAGGATTCGTTTCCTCAACAAAACCTTCCCAGATGCTCTTCAATTCGTTGATATAGCCTTTTAGGCGGAATACGTCGCCATCGAGGTTGGATACTTCTTTTGAAATAGTGACGAATTCTGTGTAGTTTCGATAAACGTTGCGCTGCAAATCACCTCCTACCACCTGCTTTGCTTCGGCAAGTGACTTGTGAAATGTACGAATTCCTTCTTCGTTTGTATCAGATAATGAGCGACGTACGTCTACACGTATATATATGCGTATACAAAGTCAATATATGTCAAAGCCAAAAAAAAAAACCTCTCGCCAATAACAAAAAGGCTTTTTTTTCCTCTTTAAGAATAAAAGGTAGCTCTCGGCTATTTCTTTCCATACAATCTTCTGGATTTAAAGTGTCATCAGCAAAGCGATGAAGATCGAGTACCACAGGAGCTGATGGCAAGGGCAAATTGCCTTGACCACGGGTTGGCATTGAATTTTGTGTTGGCCGAGTTGGCTGGGATGAAGGCGAGCCATTGCTTTTGTTTCCAGATTTTCCGCCGGTGCGATCTTTATCTTTTTTGCGAAAGACATCGGCGCCACTCGTTGCTTTCTTTTTTAGGGCGCCTGAAGGTAACATTAGAGAGGAGTTTGGTGGTAGCGAAGCGGGAAGGGGATGAGATGAGGTTAAGGTTGAGTTTTCAAAGGTGAACCTGTCGGGAATTCTTTTTCTTTTATTTTCGCGTGGACTTGGAATTTTGACGCATGAAGTTTAATTATAGTATAGAAAAGTGAAACTGTTGCGCGTGTTTCCTTGAATTGCCAAGGATGTATCTATAGTTAAAAAGCATTTGATGATTTGGTAGCGCATAAGATGCATTGCGCGGTAACTGTTGTGGCAGGCAGTGAAAAGACACTTTGGCGCATTTTCATAAACTTGGAACTAGGAACAATTGTAATTGAGTATACAGTTGGATCTCTTTATCAAGCTTTTCTTTTTTCTCAACTGAGCGCACTATTTCTTTACACTGTGTGTAAGTTGGGAGCGCTTGAACGAGTCTTCTTGTTTCTAGATTGAGTAACTTCTGTTTTCTAGAATTTGCCAAAAGAGCGTCCTTACTGCGAGCCTAATTCTTTTTGTCGTCGTCCAGTCCTTCCTTACCTTAGCGTGCACTGCATATTCTCTAACAACAAAGTGGTCGTGCGCAACAACAATATCCTAACGCTTCTCATGATAAGTTAGGCTCAATTGAATCAAGAATAATTGCCCTGTAAGCCCATAATCTATGATAATAGATAATTGTTGCCAATTGGATGCGGTTACTCATGGCATGTTTGCTATATCACAGCTAATTATATTTGTATCATTTTTGAATACGATTGTAGGACCTGTTTATTGTAAAACTACTCTGATTTACAAGAGAACGGGACTGATATATGGACAAAGATGTAGTCAAATTCATCTTTGAACACGTGCAAATTACGACAAACATTCATGAGAGGGCTGGTACAAAATGATCTGTACAACTATTACTTTGTCTCGACGTTTGTCGACTTTAGAAATTGAGGATGTGCGTTTGTTGTTCCTTGATCCGTATACTATTTAACGTGTCTGGAGTAGTTATGACCAATATCAACTGTAATGGTACGAGCTTAATATTTCTTTTTGCAATAACGTCATCGTGACGAAACATCTATTATCGAATCTATCGGCCTTCTTATGATCCATATAAAAACACAGTGTCCATGAGTAGTCTACGCGTAAGTCTTCTTGAGTGCTTGAACGGCAAAGGTTGGTCACTATGCATTTTCCCATTGTACCCAAATGAACGGTACCAGAGGTTTCAGATGAGGTAATCCTGCTCGTGGAGCGGTAACAAAATGTGCTTACCCCGCACAGCTTATTTTACGGCTCCGAAAGTACTGCTACGTTTAAGTGGCTCTCGTCTCTCTCACAGTGTGAGTAAGTGAGTGAGTGAGTGAGTCTGTCTTGATTATTAGAATAACCGGTCGGGCGCGCTTTCTGCTTATTGGGCGAGAGAGAGAAAGAGATAGAGAGCGCTGACACTTCTGCGCAAATCAAGTTTATGAAATTACGGTCCCCCACCCCTTATCACCCATCTTCGTGGACGCTTATTTCGAGCCCGATCCATTAACTTGCAGCGCATTTATATTATATCCATGGATGCGAGCTGATATAAATAATTATTTCTGCTAACCAACAAATACATGTTCTGCTTTTGCCTAAAATGGTCTTTGATGCTTACGACGCTGCATATATAGACGATCTGCTGAAACAAAAACCCTAAAGCTTGGTTGGCTATTGCCTGTCGGCCATTCAAAAACAATTACCATCAGAAACAAAAATAATCGCGTTTGCATATTTTTGAGCATATGCTAAAGAAGCGCGCTTGTGCGGAGTGAGGATATTTCATTTTCAATGCCTTTAACCATCGTCATCAGCTCGGCAGCTTTTTCTTCCGGCCGGTACAAGTAACTACTACTACTACTATACTAATTGGAAAAAAAAAGAGCTTTTCCATGCACACTTTCCAAGACAAGGCCGCATTTTATGATCGAAGTGTAAGGGTATGCACCGACAAACAACAGATACACAGAGCACATACGTACAATACAAACAGAGTACCTTCTTTCCTTCTTTGATACTTGTGTTACGGCCAATGTTTCCAAAAAAATCCATTCAGGGTTTCAAAAGGTTATACTATTTTCCCCCGGCGAAGCGGAGCCAAGGATAAGCTTGCATGGCTTTTTCGGTATAAAAGACAGCTGAAGCAGCTTTTCGCATATCACATTTGCATCTCTTATGGCAAGTCTACTCTCAAGCGCAGCGCAGGTAGCAACTCGCCACCGAGCGTCATCCTCAGCCTCTTCTTTAGCACAACCACCTGCCCCTCAACATACCAACCACCCAACCCATTCACCTTCGATTCCTGCAGCCGCGCATAATTCCACTCGAGTTCGCTCAGCATCGCAATCAAATCCTCAAACAGCCCCATTCTCGACCAGCGCACCATCGTTTCATTCAGGCAATCGAAATTCCCGGCATTTATCTTTGGACACCAACAGCAGTGACACTGGCAACGATGCTACTACTCCATCAACAACACACATACCACCAGTGACAGCACTCAATATTGAATTTGAAGGCGGCACACATGTCATTGTTCGACCTAACCGAGTTGTTCGAGGTATGGAAGTGAATCAATAGTGTTTCAACTCCGAGAATTGTTTGCATATCTAAACGTAACGAGTTCTTGCTTTGCACATAATACAGGTATAGTCGTATTGGATGCTGCTGAACGAATGCATGTCACTCGTATCCGTATCAAGGTAATGTATTCATTCGTTTTGTATATGCTCTTCCAGTTCCATTGCTCATTTATTATATGATCGACGTTTTTTGACGCTCGTAGTTTCGAGCTGAGGAATCCGCCATGGTTAAAGTCGAAGAAGGTGGTGGCGATGGTCGAGGGGAGTGGGTACATCAAGCAATCACCACATTCTTTGAGACGGATTGGAAACTTTGGGGCAATGACTCGAGCAGTAAGTTGTTCTACTTTTGGGGAGAGTGCTGTCAAGCTGACATAACGCACGTGCGCTGAAACGTGTATTTTTCTTTTAGACTATTCACAATCTGCCTGGGAAGAGTTGGAAGCGGGTCATTATGAATTTCCATTCGCCTTAAAGGTAAAGTTAATAGATTGGGTTTGCAGGATTATTATCGGTTAAATCATTAGCCACTGAGTGGTTTTTTTTTTTTGGTAAATCTTGATGCTAATGAAAAATGTGTAGTTTCCAAATGTCAATTACCCACCATCGATGGAGGAACCTTCAGGGTTTGCAATTCGGTACATATGGACGGCACAGGCTGATGGGCCTGCGCTTCAATCGGGAACTAAGAGTCGTGAATACATCACACCTTATCGACCGATAGTAATTTCCACTCCAGGTATGCGATGTTACACAGCATGCGTCAATTGATCTGATTGAAAGGGGCTCGCATCATATTAAAAGACTCACATTCTAGGCAAGGAATGGGTGTACAAGACCACCCTTATAAAAGACAAGAAGCATGCGGTTGCAGAAGCACAGGCAAAACTCTACAAACAATCCTATTGTCCAGGTAATATAGCGGGTTTCTTTAAGACGAGAGACAGGACCAACTTTCGTTTTTTTTTATAAATGTGCAGATGAGCCGTTTGAAATGCAGCTCAACTTGACCACACTCCACGCGGATGCCAAGATCCTTGCCATTACCTACAAGTTCCGTAAGCATCATGAAGGCAAGATGCTCGTCCAACAAGGGACTGCTTTCCGGGAACACATCCGGACGGTTCTCCATGGCAGTGTGCCGATCACGACGTCTCCTGTTTCAGAGACAGTGTGCTTTGACGTCCCAACACGATTGGTCTCGCCGTCCTTCACCACACGCCATACACGAGTTCACTACGGGCTCCAGTTTCTCATTACGGTCGAACAAGGACATCTGTTCAAGAATAACCACGTATTAGAGTTCAACATTCCACTCATCATTGCCAACCTGTCGAACGACCACTTGCTCCGTATTCCTGATCTGACATCGATGCAAAACTACCGCGACTCGAAAGACTGTCCAATGTTTTTCAACGCAGATCTGGATGAACCGCCAGAGCCACAAGGATTACCGAGCGAGTTAATAGGACCCTTGACGGCCGCATTGACACAAACGCCTCCGCAAAATGAGGAGCCACCCAATTACTTTAGTTTGCCCAACTTGCCGCCACAGCTAGAGTTACGGAAAGAGCGCAAGGAACGGACAGTGTATTTGACACGACCGGCAAGGGGAGCATATCATGCTTCTGAGCTGGTCGAGGCAGTCATCATACCTGGCTTGTTTGATGAAGACTGGTAGAAGTTTAAAAACACCACCAACTCCTCCTCGGCATAACGTGAACATAGACTTTTCTTTTTCTTTTTACACACACCATTGTACGTGTAACGTTGCTATTTTGCCCTTATTTGGTGAATTTGCTTACAAACACCAGTATACTATTTATTTAATCCTCTCACACTTCCTCAACGTTTATCCACTCCAACCATTTCATGTATATTATCTTAACAACTACATTAGCAAAAAGCATATTTTCTATTTGCGCACTTGGTTATGCATTACTGTTTTGAATCCAAGTTACGTAATAGCTGTTAGTGAGTATGATCGGCACTTGGAGCGACTACAGCCTGCACAAGCGGAAGAACATATTAGTTTTTCAAATTTAGGGGGTGAGCATCTACATTTTAAGGAAACCAAAAAAAGACTTGTACGACCCAGTAACAAGTCAAATCGAGAAAAAAAAAAGCGGATAATTTCATCTCTTTTTCTTTCCTCCTTTTCTCCTGATTTAGTCATATACTATATTCATCATGTTGACTGACGAAAAGACAAAAGTGGCTAATGGAAAAAGCCAAACAGCACTGGAAAAAGTAATCAGTAGTGATGCGGATCAGCCTCCCACGCTGGAGTTCAGCGAGGAAGAACGCAAGGCAATCGAGAAGAGGCTCGTTCGTAAAATCGATTTGAGGTATACTAATAAGAGCATAGGCGTTCTCCAAGTGGATGTACATGTTTTTTACAAAAAACAATCTTGACGGAAAATGAGATTTGCTATTTTCATAGAGTAATTCCATGGGTGGCGCTATTATATCTCATGCTCAGTTTGGATCGAAACAATATCGGTAATGCTAGATTGGGTACTCTAGAAGCCGACTTGAATTTGCAAGGAAACGACTATTATACGGCGTTGACGATCTTTTTTGCTGGCAAGTAGCACTTTTGCTCTACAGAGAACGAATGCTTGGATTTGCGATATATACATTCAGGGCTCATTTCTTTTTTGTTTTGGCTCTTTCTTCTTTGATACAATACTACAGGTTATGTGATTTTTCATATTCCTTCCAACTTGATGGTAAAATGGTAGGATAAAAGTACTGTAGTAGCTCATGTACGAACTATAAAATCGATCATGCATAATCGTTCTGATCCCACCCCGTCTCTTTTTCTTTTGCATATCTCTTAATTCTACCTTCTTTCTAGGTTACTTCCATCGCGTTGGATTTCAGCTACTATGATTCTGTGGGGTATCTGTTCTATTTGGTATGTTGAACAGCAGAAAATGGCTGTCTTTTTTTTTTTTTTTTTTGCTTACATGATCTCTTTACAGTACTAAAGAATGATATCATGGTGATATACATAGTCAATCAGCAACGCACAATGCTGCAGGTTTGATCGCGTGCCGCTTCTGGCTAGGCGCATTTGAGACAGGTGTTGGTCCTTCGACACCGCTCTTTTTATCGTTTTGGTATCAGCGCGAAGAGTTGGCATCGCGTGTAAGTCCATGATCTGATATATTGTTTTTTTTCCTTGAGGATGTGGGCAGTTGGGGACAGGGAATGATATGTCAGCACGAGATCACGCTCTTACTGTTTACCTCGTTTGTTTTTCTATGCTTATACCAGGTCGCATTATATTTCGGCTCATCAACAGTAGCTGGCGCCTTTTCAGGGGCTATTGCCTACGGAGTCCTTGGAAACCTGAGCGGAGCCCATGGTTTGGCCGGGTGGAGGTAAATAAGATGGCCCAAATAATGCAGTAGAAATTATGTTACTAAAGGGTAACCCGTTTGTTCCTTGAAAGATGGCTGTTTATCATTGAAGCAGCACCAACAATCCTTTTCGGTTTTTTGAGCTTCTTCATCTTACCGAACCTGTAAGCATTAAACCTGAGAACAACCATGTACTACCTCTGCGAAATTCAAAGGTTCACTACTAACAAGAAAAATAATTTCTCTTCAAGTCCCGAAACTGTGGGAACTCGATGGTTGTCCCCCGAGGAAAAGGCCGTGGCCATTGAACGAACGCGTAAAGGTGGAAACACGGATAACAAGCCGTTCGACAAGCATCAGTTTTTGGGCGCTATCATTGATTATTACAACTGGCTAGCATGTATGTTCTGTGTTGACTATGTGGCCCTGAGCATCTTGTGCTTACTTAACTGATGGGGGTTTTTTTTTACGAATGGATGTGGGAATATCTGTCACTTTCTGTAGTCATTATCTATATCGGCTTGAATGTGGCATTGGCAAGTTACTCTGTGTTTCTCCCCACCATTATCCGTGATTTAGGATTCAGTGCGTTGGATGCTCAGTTACTCTCAATTCCACCTTATGTGGCCGCTGCTGTCCTTGTTTTCGTAAGTACACAGCTTTCCGTCGAAGCACCACACGAAAAAATAAACTTTTGTATGAAACACTATAGCTTGTCTCCTGGAACTCAGATCGCACACTTCAACGCGGCTATCATGTGGCATCTGTTTCGGCTCTGGCTATCATCGGCTATATCTTCTTGCTTGCGACAGTCAATGTCGGCGTACGGTATGCTGGTGCTGTCTTAGTAGCTTGTGGTATTTACCCTATCATTCCTTTAGTAAGTGATATTGCTGCTATTATTGAATATCATATTCTTGGAAATATTTTGTTCATCCAAGCATTTCTTTCTTTTATCGCATACAACAAAAAAAAACAGACACTATCTTGGGTATCCAACAATAACTTGGGCCATACAAAGCGTGGTGTTGCCATCGCCCTGACTAGCATGTGCGGACAGGTAAATATCGAGTTAAACTTATATCTGACTTGCAAATGAAATAAAACGAGTATTATCATGCTCCCGTTAGAAAGGCAGACGGACTAAATGAATAAGCAATTCATTTAATAGTGCTTCAGTATGCTAGGAACTCAGGTATATAATAAAAGGTTGCAGCTGGATGAGGAATGTCTATCAACAAACGACGCTATAATAATTTTTTGTAGATTTATAAAACGGAAGACGGCCCACGATATATCCGAGGTCACGCCGTTTGCCTGGTGTTCATGTGCTTAGCTGGGTTGTCTGCCATTACGTTACGATTCTTATTGAAACGCGAAAATGATCGTCGTGACCGAAAGTACGGTGTTCCCGAATCGATGGATTTGAGTGAGGATGTTGATAGTGACGAGCGATTGTACGAGAAGAACTCCAACTTCCGTTATGCCTTGTAGTAGTTCTGCATTCTTTTGTCTATATATTTACTTACCCACTGTATTATCATCATATTTCGCGTACACGGATAGCAAAAGTTAACCTCTCTATAATCACTTATACAATATACAGTGATAAATTAATATTCTTTTAAAAACGATATTTGGAGTTTCAAAACCGCAGCTTTCTTTTTGTAACACGGTAGGCTAATATGGTATATGCTGAGAAAAGTGCAAGTCAATGCACAACCCGCTGGATGTCAAATTGGACAATTGCTCAAATAAAGCGGCAAAACACTTATTTGAATTTGACACACTCATTATTACATGAAGGACGTCAATTTAGTCAGGTATCCCATTTCAAATTAAAAAACGTTGTTTTGCTACACCTCGATAAATACCCATGTGCACTGAACAACATGTTTATAATAGGCTCAGCGAAGAGATTAAAGAGTTTGAGGAATACTTGGCACCTACCACTTTCGAGACTCGTAGCCGGCATGATCTCTTTCAAACGATCCGATCCATTGCGCTTCAAAATTATCCAGAAGCAACAGTCGAACCGTTCGGATCTTTTGAAACGCAATTACTATTACCTTCAAGGTCAAAACACTTGCCATAGAGAGAATCTCCCCCCACCATTTTGTTGCCTATGACTTTAAATTAACAAAAAAAGAATCTTCTGTCAACAAATGCTATATAACAGTGATATCGACCTGAACATCTCTACCGACGATGGCATTAAGCCCCAAACGATCCTTAAAAAAATATCTAAATGCCTTAGACAGTATGGATATATGCAGCCCGTTTTTCGCGCCACGGTAAAGCGTTCTTTCTCTCGCTTTTCATATAAAGAAAGAAACGGACTTATTAATGCGCTTTTGCTATATGTTGCTACTTATTTCAACACTTTAGGTGCCTGTTATCAAATTTTGTGAATATAAGTCGGCACTCAACGCGGATATTACGGCGCAAAACAATGTCATCAGCTCAAAGCGAACCCTTCAATGGATGGAAGAATACCCAGAGCTTAAACCGCTCTTTTTAGTCCTGAAACATGCTTTGCTTGGAATTCGCTTTGAACATGACCCAAATTACGAAGTATTAAGCACAGTCAGGAATGGTCTCGCTAGCTACGCTTTAATATGCTTGATTACTCATTATCTAAAGGTACTTGCACAATACATAACTTCTATGTTTCTTCTAATGCAAAAGGATAAACAGAAGTTAAAGTATTGATCTATTGCCGCCGTTTGCGCATGTGTCTATCATATAGTATAATGGTGATACTTCTGAAAAGGACGGCAAAGAAGACAAGGACTTTTCAAAGAAGCGACTTGGTATGCTGTTGATAGGATTCTTGAAATTCTACTCGACCTTTGATTTCGACACGAAAGGCTTGACATTCTATACCTCGGAAGGATACTTTGACAGGGTAATATCGTACATGGCAGTGAAAGGGATATGTGTAGATTTCCCCGTCTAATCATTGTTAGACTTTTTAATTTTATGTTCATGACGATAGCGTGATGGCGCTTTCGATCCCAAATGTTTGAATGGCACCATTGCTATCGAAAATCCCGACGATCCTAGTAAGTAACTGTGAAAAATCAAAAAATTTAATACAAACTTTATTTTTGCTTGGGCTCTAATTTCTTTGGGCGTATAGGTGCCAATGTTGCTCGTGCTACAAGAACAGCCAAGCAATTCCAGGCTGCTCTTGGATGGATGCATGTCCAGTTGAACACACGCATTGAATCTGACACGTTTCAACGCTCATTGCTCGAAAAAGTTATACTTGTAGAATCTCACCCATCAAATACTCCTCGTAAGAATCTGACAAAGTATCAGTTTCCGCTGAAGTATTTGAGTGTGGAAGATTTGGGTGCCAGCAACTTACCATCAGTCGATCCGTACCTATTTGCGAATAACGCAGCCAGGAAGAGAAAGCAATCCTATATTGATCGTGATGATGGTGATAATATAGGCAGGAGCAGCAACGAGAATAGTCGACCAAAGAAAAGAAAGAAGGAAAAGCGGGGACAATCTCACTCTCAGGAAAGGGGAAATGGACGGCGATTCAAAAGATCAAGATAGAGAATGAGAGAACGATTGCTAGGGCGCGAAAGCCAAGCCTATCGTCATCATCTTCTTTATCGTAATTCTCCCACATAAACAAAAAAGATAGATCTGTATATAGGATCTGTATGGTACAAGTAAAAAAAGAAATAGCTGTTTATGTATGTATAAAAGAAAAAAAAGTATGTTTAGTAAATGGTATACAAGGAATTATAGTAGGTAGCAAAAGTACATCTAGTTTGTATTTGTGATAAATTAGCAGCTGCATCCTCCTGCCTGCGGTTGCTGCGTGCTCACGCGTACTGTATTGGGCGCTGCTTTTTTCTGCCATAAGCTCGGCGTCTCAATAATCTATACACATAAAATGGCGTAGGTTAATACGGATTACAAAGGATGATCCTACTACTACTACTACTGCCTCTAGTATTCTAAATTTATTTACCTTGATAACCAATTCTTCAAACGCCTCTCGCACGCCCACGTTCGTTTTCGCGCTGCATTCAATAAACAAGGTTTGTAACTTACGGGCCATCGCTGCACCTTCTTTGTATGTTACGGCTCGTGAAGATTCCTTTTGACAATGCTTCAGTACCTTGACCATTCTTTTGCTACGACACTATCATATACAATTCAAATCCGTTTCGTCTTACCTTATCCACCTTATTACCAACAATCATCTTGACGACATCCGGGCTTGAGCAGTATGTATTGACCTCGTTCCACCAAGTATTTAATGCCTCAAAAGAATCTCGACTGCTGACATCATAGACCAGAATCACACCTTGTGCCCCACGATAATATGACGAAGTCAGCGTCCGAAACCGTTCCTGACCCGCGGTATCCTAGATATGTGTATATACGACATTCAGTGCCAAGTTGCAAAAGTTGACAAGTGCATTCAACCAGTTTTGCACTACAAGCGTTTTTTTCAGTTACCCAAATGGTCAATTTATAAGTTTTGCCTTCGACGTTGGTCATGCTCACTTTAAAATCGACACCTATACAATAATGAATGCATGGTTTGAGTGAAAATCTCGGGTTTTCAACCACAAAAAAAAAGGAACATACCAATGGTTGCGGACACTTCGTCTTGTGGTAGAAAGGTGTCGTCCGTAAACCGTAGTAAAAGTGACGATTTACCAACTGACGAGTTTCCAATAAGCAGTAGTTTGAGTGTAGGGACATTTGCAGTAGTATTATCAGCAGACATGATATATAGATAAATATGTATAAGGTTTCGAAAGATAAATGAAAAAGAGAAAGAGCAAAGGAAAATGCCACTGAAATTTTCTTGAGTAACCTTCTCAGTATGACGTATTGGGAAACACATGTGGACCTCGTTCATTTGATAGAAACATTATTTTTAGATGTGAATGAAGGGCAAGAAGAATATGGTACATGGATTAATATAGAAAACATGGTAAAGTCGAATAATGCAATGTGAAAGAATGGTGTTGTGTGCTTGTGCTATGAGAGAGAATTCTACGGTTGAATCGTCTTAGGTTGTCTTTTTGTTATGATTGACATAGCCGATACCAACACATGTCAGTACCATGGTCTCCCCATCCTGCTTGATCTTGTACGCCACTCCAAAAAATGATTTGAGATCACGCAGGTATTGGATCCTAAACACCGTTTCTTCGTCAGCATATGAAATCCAAATTACACATCCCTCGTCTCTTCTTTGAGATCCATCCTCCCAACTATCCCATCAAAAA